GAGGACGAGGACGAGGACGAGGACGAGGACGAGGACGAGGACGAGGACGAGGACGAGGACGAGGACGAGGATGAGGACGAGGAGGAGGAGGAGGAGGAGGAGGAGGAGGGGGAGGAGGAGGGGGAGGAGGACGCCCGCGTTTGTCGGCCCTGGGGCGGCCTGCTCGTCGAGCCGTGCGCTCCCTTGCGCTCCTCCTCCGCGCGCTGCCGCTCCTTGCCGCCGCCCCTGTGCGCTCGGACGCTCCAGCCACATCAGCGCTTGTCATCATCCGCGTTTGATGATCCATCACGCTGGGGGGGAGGGGGTCTTCTTCCTCCTCCTCCTCCTCCTCCTCCTCCTCCACCTCCTTTTCCTCCTCGTCCTCCTCCTCGTCCTCCACCTTCTTCCCCCCTCCAACTTATGGTGGTGGTGGTGAAAAACAGGTCCATCGTTTGATGTTCCATCACACTGGGGGCCTGTGCCTGGAAGCAGAGACATCGGCACAAACAGCAACTTTGTGGCGCTCCGCGCGGATTTCTCGGCTCCGCGCGCTGGGCCCCCCGGCGGCGCCTCCAGCGGCGCCCCCGGCACGCTCCGCGCGCCGGGGGGGGGGTCCAGCGCAGGTTCGAGACGCCCGCGCGGAGCGCCAGCAAGGTTTGTGCTGGTGCAGTGGTCTCTGCTCCTGAGGCCGGTCCTGGCGCCTGGCATCGCTCGTACGTGTGCATGCTCTCTCGGCGAGAACCATCGAGGACCATCCTGGACCAACGCGCAAAAATCACACGCACGAAGCCGAAAAATGCACGGGAAGTGGACGTCCGAACGACGGCAAGGGCGGGAGCAGGCGTGTTCGACTGCATCTTCTTCGACGACTACGGCACGCCGGGGCGCGCCGACCGGGAGATGGAGGACCGCGGGCGGGCACGCCCTGCAGGGGGGCGCTGGGCGGCGCCCCCACGCGTCCTCCGACCAGCTGGCTCGCACAGATGCAGGAGGGGGAAACACGAAGCACAGACAGAATTGATCGTCGACTCCCAGGAAAATCTGGGAACACATGGGAAGTGAGGGGGAAGACAGAAGCCCAGAGACCTAGAGAAAATGAGGGGGAAGTGAGGGGGGAAGTGAGGGGGAGTGGGGGAAGTGAGGGGGGAAGACAGAAACCTAGAGAAAATAGTTGGGGAAATGTGGGGGGTCCGGTTATTTGTGTCTATTGTGAAGGCCTTGCGGCCGGTGCCGCTGACCCTGAAGGTTTTGGCCGTCGATGGCGACGGGATGTGTCATCACAGGAAGGCGCTAAAGGACAACGTGACAGGGTAGGCAGAGGAAGTGAGTGAGGAGGAGGAGGAGAAGGAGGAGGAGGAGGAGGAGGAGAAAGAGGAGGAGGAGGAGGAGGAGGAGGAGGGAGGAGGAGGACGAGGAGGAGGACGAGGAGCAGGAGGAGCAGGAGGAGGAGGAGGGCGGTGGAGGTCTGGTCCGGAGGAGGAGGAGGAGGAGGAGGACGAGGAGGAGGAAGGGAGAAAGAGAAAAGGAGGAGGAGGACGAGGAGGAGGGGAGGAGGAGGAGGAGGAGGAGGTACGCAGGAGGAAGATATGAAGGAGGAAGAGGAGGAGAGCAGGATGAGGAGGAGGAGGGGGAGGAGGAGGAGGAGCAGGAGGAGGAGGAGGCAAACGAAAAGGAGATGGAAAAGGTGGCAAAAGACGCCCAGGAGGAGGAGGAGGTGGTATTCTGACCCGGGACCCCCCTGCAGGACCCCCCCGGGACCCCGCCAAGGTGGCAAAAGCTGCCCAGGAGGAGGAGGAGGGAGTGGTATTCTGACCCGGGACCCCCCCCCAGGATCCCCTCCCCGGACCCCCCCCCCTGCGGGGGAAGGGAAGAAAGGGAAGGGGGAACCTTTCGAGTCAGTTTACTGTACGCAGAAGAAGCGATGAAGGAGGAAGAGACGGAGGAGGAAGGAGGAGGAGGAGGAGGAGTAGGAGGGGGAGACGAACGAGAAGGAGACGGAGAAGGTGGGAAAGGGAAGGAGGCACGGACGAGAAGAACAACCCATTCCACACGCCGACAGGGTCGGCGGATTTATTTGTGTGTCCCAGGGCCCCTTCACTCAGAGATCCCCGACATGTCTCCGCCACGAATATGAATACGGTAGGTTCGCGTTGTGTCGACCAGCGGCGACCCCGCCGCCGACGTTCCACGTTGAACGCCAGCGGCGGCCCAGAATCGGTCGATGTGGAGCGCGCTGACGCTTCGGAAACGGCCGATCGTTCGAGGCTGCATGATCCCCGCGGTGTCAGTAACCAACGCCGGGATCGTCACGACGCGAACCTGCTGCACACAGACACCATTCGACGATTTTTGCATATGCCTTCAGAAGGGATGGCGATGTATAAAGCCGCTGGCTCTCAATGGTGGGCCCAGGAATAATCCATTGGAGGGGGCCTGTGTATTTCCTTTTGCGGCGGAATGCCCTCACCCGATGTTATCCTCATCTCGCCTCCGCCTCCGTCTCAGTGGGGAGCGAGAAGGTTCAGCTCGAGCCAGCATTGTCCACCCGTCCCCATCCTTGGCATCTCCCCGCTGGGCTCAGGTCGGGCACGTCCTCCTACAGGCGGATTTTGGACGTTGTTTTGTTTCTATAAAAACAAGGCCAACAATTATCAAACATAATTGTTTTGGATACGTTACTCCTCCTGTAGAGGGAGGTGCCCCACCTCGCGCTGGGGCCTTAGTGACTAGTGTCGCAGCCCCACCGGCCCGCTCCCCCAGGGGGGGGACCCCACGGGGGGGAACGGCCTCCGCGAAGCCCAAAGGTAGCAGCACACATCCCCACCGGGGGGGTGAGCTTACGTCGGGCATGTCCTTCTACAGGAGAAATGTCCAAACACAGGCCAACAACAGTCAGGGGACGCTGTTTTTTTGCAGGATTTTTCGCGAAGCCCGGAGGGAGCAGCACACATCCCCACCTGGGGTGGGGTAAGCTTACGTCGGGCATGTCACTCTACAGGAGAAATATCCAAACATAGGCCAACAACAGTCAGGGGACGCTGTTGTTTTTGATTATTGTTCGCGAAGCCCGAAGGGAGCAGCACACATCCCCACCCGGGGGGGTAAGCTTAAGTCGGGCATGTCCCTCTGCAGGAGGAGGATGTTTGCTTTTTTTTTTTTTATTATTGTGTATACATATAACGGCGCACCGGGTCCGGGGGCCCGGGGCCGGGACCTCGACCGCAAATGTGGGCCCCGGGGGGCCCAGAGACTCGTCGGACCGCTGGACGCCGTCCAAGATCGTTCGCAGGCGGCTTCGGAACGCGCTCCGATGGCTCCAGATGCCTTCCAAGACGCCTGTCATGACACCAAGAAGGTCCCAGAAGCCTCCAAGACGCTCCGAGAGGCAGCCCAAGAGAGGCCCAAGAAGCAAAAATCGTGCCATTCCTATGGGAAAACGTATATTTTCGCATGTTCGCATCTTGGGCTTTCACCGCGTCCAAGACGGCCCAAGAGGCCTCCAAGACGGCCTAGGGCCTCCGGGAGCGCTCCAAGGCTGCGCACGAGTGGCCCAGGACGGCCCCAAGACGGCCGAAGAGAGCCCCAAGACGAGTTCGAGAGGGGTCCCAGACGGAGAAAGCCAACCTCGAATTCCGAGCTTCCGGCCCAAGAGGCTCCAGGAGGCGCCAAAATGCCGCCAAGAGGCGCCACAAGGCTCCCAAAAGCACCCCAAGACGTTCCGAGAGGCACCCCAAGAGAGGTCCAAGAAACAAAAATCGTGCCATTCCTATGGGAAAACGTATATTTTTCGCATGTTCGCATCTTGGGCTTTCACCGCGTCCAAGACGGCCCAAGAGGCCTCCAAGACGGCCTAGGAGGCCTCCGGGAGCGCTCCAAGGCTGCGCACGAGTGGCTCAGGACGGCCCCAAGACGGCCCAAGAGAACCCCAAGACGACTTCGAGAGGGGTCCCAGAAGGAGAAAGCCACTCTCGAATTCCGAGCTTCCGGCCCAACACATCCCAGGAGGCGCCAAAACGCCGCCCAGAGGCGCCAAAAGGCTTCCAAAATCAGCCCAAGACGTTCCGAGAGGCACCCCAAGAGAGGTCCAAGAAGCAAAAATGGTCCCATTCCTATGGGAAAACGTATACTTTTCGCATGGTCGCCTGTTGGGTTTTCACCGCGTCCAACACGTCCGAAGAGGCTCCCAAGACGGCCTAGGTGGCCCCCAAGAGAGTTCCAAGACGGTTCACGAGGCGCCCAGGACGGCAAAATTGGAGTCCAAAATGGCCTAAGAGAGCCCCAAGGCGTGCCGGAGAGAGGGGTCCCAGAGGGAGAAAGCCATTGTAGAATTCCGAGCGTTCGGCCCCAAGAGGCTCCAGGAGGCGCCAAGAGAGCTCCAAGAAGCCCCCACGAGAGACCCAGGACGCCCAAGAGGCTTCTCACAACGATTCTTGGGTCTGTGACTCGACAGAACCTAAGCGCGCGCGAAGCGCGCGCGTGGTTCTAGTTTGAATGTGTTGGTGCATGTTTTGGCTATGTCTTATTTTTCGTTGAAAATCCGCCTGTAGGGGGACATGCCCGACCTAAGGTAAGTCGGTCAGTGGGGATCAGGCCATGTCAGTGGGGATTGGGACTGGTTCTCCCTCGCCAGTTCTGCCCCGAATCGTTGTCCTCGGCGGCGTCCAGGATGAGGACGCGGCTACCCGAGGATCGAAGATCAAGGCCTCCAGGGGTGGCGAGGGAAGGGAGGAGGGAGAAGGAGGGAGAGGGACGGCGAGGGAGGGGAGAGGCTGAGCAGGAGGGAAGAGGGGAGCGGACGCCTCGAAGGAGAGGGCGACAAGGAGAGGAAGAGGGACAGGGAGACGATGCCCCTCGGCGGCAGGAGTACTGCCCGAAGTCGAAATACCAGCGGGAGTACAGGGACTCGCTCTCGCACGAGGGCGGCACGCACTTCCACGGCTTTGGGGGGCTCTGCGGCCCCCGGCCGCCCTCGACATCGGCTGCCATCGACGGCGGCGGCGACGAATCCATACAGTGGGGGCCCATGCCAAGAGGCACCCTGGTTGCATTGCCTCCAGGGTGCCCTGGGTTTCTTAGGTTTTGATGGTCTTGCGGAGGAGAGTGCGGCGTTCCCCCACCAGGATTCGGTGGACGCCCTTGGGTCTCAGGATTGGGTCTCTTGTGGAAGGTTTCTTGTGGACTGGCCCCTGCTGTATTCAGAAGGGAACGAAAACACACAGACGCAATTAATCGTCGATCGCCCAGAAAATCTGGGAAAATATGGAAAGTGGGGGGGAAGACAAAAGCCCAGAAAATATAGGAACATATGGGGAATCATGTTATTTGTGTCTATTTCTTTGTGTGTCCCTGGGCCCTTTTCTGTATCTCCTCACGATGGGACAAATCCACGGCGGAAGATGTCCTCCAATCCTCGGGTTCCGGGGGCCATCGCCGGGCCCCAGGGCCGCCAGCAAAAAAGATTCGGGATGGAACGCCGGTCCCAGGGAGAGGGCTCCGACCTCCAGGGGCCCACCAGTGTGCGAAATAATTTCGACGGAGGTTTGGGGAGAAGCGACACCACCACCAGGTGGGCCACCTCCAGCGAGGGGGTCCTCAATGCCTCCCCGAGCTGGAGACCAGTGATGTATCGAGCGGGGCAGGGGGACCGCGCAACCAGGAGAACCCCAGCTGGCTCCTTGCGCTGGTGGTGGTGTCGCTTTACAGCAGCGGAGGCAAACGACTGCGGCAATGATGTTGCAGGGTCCATTTTTCGTCGGTTCGGTCCGATCCGCTCTCGGTGTCTCATCCGGCTCGATGCGATGCGTGTCCGATTCTCCGGCGATCCGGTGTTGCCCGGCGATTGCATGGCGTCGTTGTGCATTTTGGCGCGTCCAATACGATTCGACCGTGATCGTGCAGCCCGATCCGGCGCATATTCCGATTCGATCCAGTTTCCCGATCCGGTTACGTTGCGGCAGCGGCGACAAGCGATCGTGGCGATGACGTGGGCGTTATCGTTCCTCCTCCTCCTCCTCGTGTTTGCTCCCGAGTTACCGCCAGCCGACAGGAGCGGGCCCGCCGCGGCGGGCGATGGTGGTTCATGAGCGGCTGGACAGGGTCGTTGCTGAGTCGCGGACAGGCCGTCAGTCCCGTATCCGCGTCAGCACACAGTCCCCGAACAAGCGCAAAGCCGGGTCCAATACCGAACTCGGTCTGGAAAATCTGAATCCAGTATAGTCTGCCCCAAGTCATGCATGGCCTTTTCTGGAATGTTTCGGCCCTGCTGGCATTTTCGAGTCAGCGGCGTCGCTGGGTAACCGCCTGGCGACCATATGCACCCACTCGCTGCGGTCAAGGCACTGCAACTTTGAGCGTAACCTTTGCTTGTAGCTGCGGAACATGCTCTGCCCATTGTGCGAGCAGGCTGACGTTGAACAGCTCGCTTAATTTTGTTTCGGACATGCCGGTACACGTCAGACCACTCACCCGTGACATGTTTCACGAAGTTTCCCATGCATCTCATAAGGACGTCTGCGCGTGGAAGCAAGCTTGCCGAAGTCGGTGAAAGTCAAGGGAGCTGATGTTAGGCCGTCTTGCGATGTGGGCGTGACGATGCAGTCGAAGAGGCTAAGTCTGAGAGGGAAGTCCACGTGTCGGGTTGGTCAGAACGGAATTTAGCATGTGGTAATTACGCATTTCCGAGATGCACGTGGAAGTTTCCTTCTCTTGCGACTTCGGTGAGACCGCCAGGGTTGCAACTCTTGAGGAAGGTCGCCACCCAGAGTCAAAATGTTGTTTCTCTTCGCAGTGTATTTCCAGGCCGAGTTGTTGAAAATCTTTTGCGGGCGAGTTCCACGTCAGCGTCAATTCGTTCATTTGTGGCATCATGCCATCATTTTGGAGTTCACTTTGGTGGCATCAAACAACCTCACGATACATGCTAGTGGCATGTATCGCGGGGTTGCTTGCGCACCTGACGTGGGTCAATCGTCGACAAGAAGGACTGAGCTCGGTCTTGATGCCGTGGTCCCTTAAGCGACTTGACGCTCTTCTCACGACAGCTTTTGATGCAGCGTTGAGGAGCGCCAGACTCAGAACGCCCCCTTGGCGAACACCTCGCCGGACATCGAAAAGACGCGGGTTCCCCTGCAGGGGGGCCCTGAGAGGAGCTCGCAGAGCGGCGTCGGCGTTTCGACCAGGAGGCGGCCAGCTGAGCCGCCAAAGAGGCAGCCAACTACAGCACCGCGGGAGTTCACGGCGATTGGCCCCGAAGGGGTTTTCACGGACGAGGTGAATGCGACCAGGATAACCAAGATTATTAGGATGTCCTAGAGGCAACTGCGCAACCGCTTCCATGACAGCTACGTCAGCGCAGCGCTGGCAGTCGTGGAACATGCGAGCGGCAAAGAGAAACTCGTCCACGACGGCGCGCGCGAGGTCGCCGTGAACCACGGGATTCGATACTGGGACCGTCAGAGGATGCCGAGGCCCACGGCGAAGAGTTACCTCCTGAGCCATTGCGAGGGCGGGCACGAGGTCATCTTCTCACTCGTCACCGACGTCGGGGGCGCATCGGCTCGTCAAGATCCGCGAGGGCGACGGGGCATGGTGGCGTGCGGGCTTGCAACACCGTGGGCCCCTTCGGCGCACGCTGCGCATCAGAATGGTGGACATCGCTATTCGGCGCAGCGCTGCTGGCGATATTCTGCTAGTTGGGAGGCGACCAGCAAGTAGGATGCCGACGACGTCTGGGCGATCGTTGCGGTGAATCGAGGACTACTGGCAACCCTCTCCATGATCGTCTCACTGGACGTCTCCGTTATTGGCGCAGAGGGGCAAGACGCGGGGCGCCCTCGAGGCGGGCCAGGTCGGCCCACGCTGCTACTGCGCCAAGTATGCCATGGGGAGGCGGGCGCGGCGCCACCCCCGCGAGCGCGCTGGCGTCGGGATCGGGGGCGTTTGGGCTTCGGCGGAGATGCCGCCGCTGGGCCCGCCGCGCGCCGGGCCCCCAAGCGTCGCTGGGAAGGGCAAGAGGAAAATCCCCCTGCCGCAGGCGACCAGGCTCGTGCTAGCGCGGATCGGCACGCGGCTGGCGGGTGGGCGCACACTGGAGCCAACCTAATTTCAGAACGGAGCGCGCTGGGCAGTTACGCTCGGGCGCGAAGGCGGAGGGGGTGCACCGCTGGGTAGGTGGCTGGAATGCACCGCCGAACAGCAGCACCCGGGCTCGCTGGCGCGCTCTTGGCGCGGGCCAGCGCAAGCGCCCCGGGCGGGGGCGTCGCGGCGACGGGCTACCTGAGGGGTGCCTGCGCGGGGGGCAGGGCAGCGTCGACCAAGCGGCGGCTAGCGGCCCCCGTCCTCGAGCTTTCGGAGGAGCTGAGGTCGCGCAAGGTGGCGCTGAACCAAGGACTGGCTACGGCGCGAGGAGAACCGGGGGCGGACTTGCTCGGCAACATGAAAACTTCGGACGACGACGAGCCGTCCGACGGGCCCCGTGGGGTCCACGCAGCGGCCGCATACCTGAGGTGCCACGCGCTCGACGAGATGACGCAGGCCCCCCGCGGGGCCCCGCGAGTCGATCGTCGATGAGATGGCGACCAATGGGGCCGCGGTCGCGCGCGACAGATGCCGCGTCGCAGCATCGCCTAGCGCGCCGTTTATGACATCGCGCGGGCGAAGGCGGAGGCGGCGGCAGCGGCGCGCGGGCGCGCGGCTGGCCCCGCGCGACCTTTCAGGGCGAGGGCCCAGCGCTCAGCGCGATGGGGGCCCAGGGCGGGAACGGCCCCCCCCCGGGCACTTGTGCCGCTGGGTGCCCTCGTGGCGCCCCAGGAAAACAGGCGGGTTGGCAGCCCGCTCGTCGCCGCAGCTCGGCGGGGCTGCGGGAGAGACCCCTGCCCTGTGTTCGGCCAGCCACAGTGGCCGCGGGCCCGCCGTGCCACCCCTGAGAGGCTCGACGAGGTCACTCGAAGGGGTCCCCGGGCCTGGGGGGCGCGGGGACGTAAGTCCTTGGCTCGCAACGGCGGCGCAGATGCAACGCCTGGGGCGGGTCTGTGCCGCCGTTCGCGCTGAGAGGTCCGACTGCGTGTGAATTCACGCAGGCACTTTTGGGCGCCTCCCTTCGGGTTGCGTCGCCCAGGTTCTCTGTCCGGGCGCGAAGGGGAAGGGCTCCCCCCTGACGCGGCGGGCCCGATGGAAGGTCGGAAGGGCGTCGGGGCCGCGCCCTCGTCTTCTCCGCACGGCGCGGCGCGGCTGGGGTGTGGCGACGTTTGTGCGACGAGGCGAGGACAGTGACGCGCGGCTGGCGGGCCTCGACGCGGGGGGCCCGGGGGCTGGGCCCCCGGTTTTTCCACGCCTCTGTCCCTGCTTCATTGGCGACCCACTCCCGTCGCTGAAGGGGGGGCATCAAGTTCTTGCGATTTGCCCGGGCCCCCGCGCTACGGGGCTACGTTTCTGCCACCCGTAAAGAGGCATCAACGTCGCCCCTGCTTAAAACATCCTTCGCACTGCTTGTAGGGCCATTCGAGATTATTCTGGCCATTTGGGTTCAGACGTTTGGCCGAATGTGAACAATTTACCCACCACCCGGGGACGTCAAGTTCATTCGAGTTGTTCGGGCCCCTGCGCTACAGGGCCCCCGTCGCCGCCGCCCGAAAACAGGCATCAACGTCCCCCCCCGGTTTTTGTTTTCAGCCATCGCGCCGCTTCGTAGGGTCATTCGATGATACTACAGGATGGCAGATTGTGTGATTGTTTGTCCTGCTATCGTCGTCGTCGGTCGGGGGATTTTCGGGTAGGAGGTCGAGTCGATTACATGCGGGATTTATCCCAGATGGGTTTTTTTTCCGCCGAGGGCGCTCGTAGATCTAAGATCTCTCTATGAAACAAATCAATATTTTCAAGATTTGGGGGCCATGCGATCCGGCCGCCGATTTCCTATGCAAGAGGTGGGAGTGACATGAGGACCGCAGGCGGTGCCGCGCCCCCCATCCCCGGGTCCCCCCTCTGAAAAAATGAAGCCGCACAAAGGAAAAAGGCACCTCGAGGACACACCCTCTTGTGGGGGCTACTCGGATGCACCATTGAAAATGGGCGCCGTTTGTTTTTCCAAAGATTTGGCTCAAGCTGCAGCTGCCCATTCGAAACCCCGAGAACTCGATGGGTGGAGTCGCCATGCCCCCCGCTGGGGGGGACTCGGCGGGCGAGGGCGCGGGGTTGGCGGAGAAGGAGGAGGACTGGTTGGGCGATCCAGGGTGTCCAGTGGGCAAGGGGGGGCCTGCTTGGAAGGCGGAAGAGGAAGTTCACGAGGTTAACCGGGTGGATGATCGAATCCATCAGTGCAGAATATCCCAAAACACATATTTGGAACCCCTTGTCGGTCCAAGAAATCCGAGCGGAACTACGACAGTTTTTGCTACGCAGTTGGACCTGCGTTTTGAGTGGAGCGGTGACGAGGGACGTGGCCGAGAGGGACGACCAGAGGGGGGGGGGCGAAGGAGACATGTGTTGGTAATGGCTGGGGGGAATGCCGAGACGGATGCGTAAATATCAGGACGTTGAAGGGGAGAGGGGACGTCCTCCTCGTTTTCATCGTTTTCCATATGAGCAGCCGCCGCCTCGTCATCCGCTTCTCCCTCCTTGGCCTTATCCTGGTCCTCGCCGCTGTCCGTCTCCTCATCCTCGTCGGCGGGGGGGAGGAAACCGCGTAAGGGGAGGTTTCCTGAACATCGTGCTGCGTTGGCATGCGCGAGAGTCCACGCGAATCACGGGCTACCTGGATCGCGGGGGAGGGGCGCATTAGAAGTGTTGTCGTCGTCGCAGTCGTTGCCCTCGAGGTCGTCGTCTTCCTCCGCGTTGCCCGCATTACGCATCCATTCCACGGCACCTGGCCATGTGTCGCGAACTGAGGCGTGGGTGCAGCCCGAGGCTGAGGGTTCTTGCCGCGTCGAAGGTTGCTGCAGTCGCCCCACCATGGGAGACAGAGAAGATTCGGCATCGGTCAGACGTGTGCATGTGTTCCCTGGCGAGGGCCATCGAGGAGCACGTTGGATCATCTAGCTGAATCACACATGCACGAACTGCAAAGGGAAATGGCGTCCGAGCGATGGCGAGTAGATCGCCGCCATCATCCATCGCCATTGGCCCAGCGGAGGGCGAGGGCAGGAGTACCCCATCGCCATGCAGCGGGACGACGTCTTGGCAGCGCCCCCCGCCGCCCCTGCGATCGGGCGTCGCCGCTGTCCATGTCGACCCGTCGTCGGTTGTCGCAGTTGGCGCTGCCGTCGTCGGCCGTCGCGGCCGTCGCGGCCGTCGGTCGTCGAAGGCGGCGCCGTCGCCGTCGTCGCTGCCGTCGTCTTCGCCTTCGGTCGCCGTCGTCGGTGCGCATAGGGATCATGCCTGGAGCGTGTGGGCGAGAAGATGGCCGGCGGGGTGTGGTGCCCAGCGTCGCGCGTTTCGGAGTTGCTGTTCGGTTCTGCCGCCCAGGCTTTCTCCCTCTTCCCGGCGTGCGTCCGTGAGCCCCCTCTCTTCCTGCTCGGATCCCTCCTTCCCCTCCCCCCTCCTTTCGATCCCTCTCTCTCTCGCTCTCTCGCTCTCTCGCTCTCTCTCTCTCTCTCTCTTTCTCTCTCTCTCTCTCTCGCTCTCTCTCTCTCTCTCTCTCTCTCTCTCTATATATATATATGTACCGCTCTTCCTCTCGCAGTCAGAGTAACACCCAGCGAGTCTCGGGGGCCACGTACCGAGTCGTCCACTCCGTCGTGCCCTTCTCGGCCGTTCGCAAGGGTCTGAACGCGCAGCTAGCACGGCATGTGGTCTTGCCGCACGCAGCCATGCGTGCTGCGCGGAACGCTCGCTGGCCTGGCGCCTGCGCGGACCCGAGGTCCGAAGCGGCGTTTCTGCTGTTTTTCGTTATCTCTCTCTCTTTTTGTCTCTCCCTCTTTCCGTTTCTCTCTCCCTCTCCTTCCTTCTCTTTCCTTGGCTGACTCTATTGTTTTGTTTCTCTCTCTCTCTCTTTCTCTCTCTTTCTTATCTTTCTGTCTCTGCTGCGTGATCGCGACTGTTCTTGTTTGCCTCTCTGTCTCCACTGCTCCCGCATGTCATCATGATCTCTTTCTCTGTCTCTCTCTCTCTCTCTCGATTTTGTCCTTGGTACATCTCTCTGTGACTGTCTGTCCATATATATATATACACATACACACATACATACATACATACATACATACATACATACATACATACATACATACACACATATCTATTTTTATATATATATCGTTTTCTCGTTCTCTCCCTCTCTCTCGTTTACTTGTTGTGTTTCTCTGTCTCTTGTTCTTTCTCTCTCTCTCTCTCTCCCTCTCTCTTTGGTTGAGCAAAGAATCCGAAAGAATTCCTCTCTCTCTCTCCCCCCCCTTCATCCCTCTCTCTCTCTCTCTCTCTCCCCTATCGTCCATCCGTTCTCAGGCCTCCTTCGAGCACACTCCCGTGGACCCCCCGGCGCACTGCAACTACTGGCCCTCCGAGATCTGCAAGCAGGCGGTACCCCTATGCCCTTGCTAAGAGGAACGGGGGAGCGCGAGGTTGAGGAGGATGAATCCAGGCCGCAAGCGGGGACGAAGAACACTGGGTCGGTGGATAACGCCGAATCATCGATGCATCGGCGATGCGGATCGATGTTGATCCTGGTTTGTCCAAGTTCGACGTCGTCGGTGCAGCAGCGACGTCGCCGATGCATCGCCGATGCATTGCTGTCGCACTAGGAAAGGATCCGTCTGTGTCATGACCACGGCCGCCACCTGTGCCATCGCAGCCCGCGACGGGACTGGAAACTGTGACCCTATTGAGGCGGCGACGTCGAGAACCGAGTATCGACGAATTTTTGGTGAGCATCATGACGATTTTCGCCAGCATTGATAGGACACTTGAGCACATGGCCGACCTCATCACGCGGAAGAACTTGGCGGGCGACAGTGTGCACGCAGGCACGAAGCGGGATGCTGCGACATTGCGCAAGTGCATCTAACACGAATGGACATGTTATAGAGAGTCATTGAACGCAGCGATACGATAGACAGTATGAACAAATTGCACACTTCTGACGACCAACATCAGTACGGCGACCGAGACCAACATAATCCCGACAGGCACCGGCTGAAGCGACAAAGGGGAGAAGCAAAACGGGGATCAGCAGAAACACGATAGCCCCGACGTGGACGGGCACAAGTTCGACAACCATATCGCAGACCAGCAGCGGCTGGACGCAATCGACAACCCATAGCAACACGGCGACCAACAGCAGCATAATGGGGCTTATGACCAGCAAGAGAAAGACAAGCACAGCGCGAACAAGCAAAAACCCAGCCAGCGCACCGAGAACCAGCACCAGCCGGACGAGCGAACCGCTACGGAACGGCACAACAATGAAACAGCAGTACCGACCGCCTTCACGACATTATGAAAATTTTCAGAGGTGCGGAAGATGTCTCAGGCCAGGGTTTGGGACACTCGCAATTGTTTTCTTCTCTCACCTCTCTGTTCGTGACCCTCACTGCGCACGCGTCTCTGTGGAGTGTCCTGCGGCCAAGTGCCTTGCGCAGGCGCCTTTTCCACAGGGGGTTGGTATGTGTTGACAGGCTATCTTGCTCGTTCATCCCTCTCACAATAGCAGCCTCCCACAAGCAGCCAGTGGCTACTCGCCAGACGAGGGCAAGGCCATCCACGAGGCTGCGCCCTCTCCACCCCGGTCGCAGACGGCCGCGCGCGCGTGCGCGCGCGCTCGCAGGATGTTTCGCGTCCTGTCGTGTCCACCGATGCAGCGCCGAGGCGGCGCCATCCTCCGACGCCATCTACCCTTAAGTCGGGTTTGTCCTTCCACGCGAGGAGTATTCAAACATAGTCAAACATACTATGGGGACGATTGGTGTTTGTAATATTTTCTTTATGTTTGGGGTATGCATGATTTTTTCGCCCAGATTCCGCCTGTAGGGGGACTTGCCCGACGTATACCTACCCGGGCTCTATCCGAGCGAGTTGCCATGGAGAGCCGGGAAGGACGAGGCCGAAAAAAGGCGAATGCGGGAGGGGGGGAAAGGGGGAGGCGAGGAGGGGAGGATTGAGCGAAAGGAGAAGGCAGGAGTGAGCCAGGGGACACTTGGGGGTGAAGATAGCGATGTCGAGGAAACGTTTGATCCAGGGTAAGCGGGGAACCCCAGGACGAATCAGCGACGCTGCGATACACCCTCCCTTCCACGGCCCCGTCATCGTGAGCCCCTAGTTATTACCGCAGCGGGGGCGAGAGCCACGCGGGGCTGTCATTCAGACGCGAGCCCCGTTTTGGAAAGGGCGCGACGCGCGGGCCGTTAGTTGCGCCGGGCGCGGGGCGGACGCGGGCGAAGCCAAGCGCTTGAGCGCGACGGGAAGTCTTCCACGAACGGCCACGGAGGAAGATGCGAAAAAGGAACTGCTGGAACAATAGGGGAGGAGGAATCATGCCGTCACGCGCGCCACTCGTCGTCGTGACTTCTCACGGATCTCATGGAGCTCATTGTGCTTCGCATTTGGGCTGCTTTGGGACCCTGTGAGCCGTCTTGGGGGCCCGCGGGTCTCGAGACGTCAGGTCGCGCGCCCCCCCTTGTGAGTCTTATTGTTTTACTGAGCCCACCCTCGGAACTCGCTGCGTTTGCGCGACGGGCGGTAGTTCTAAACTTGCAATGATATCGGATGTGATGGAATTCCTTCTCGAGCCAGAATCGCGAAACAGATAGCGCCTTCAACCTTGCCTAGTGGAGAGCTCGTGCGGTGATGCGTTTAATCTCGCTGGCCGAATTAAGTTTATTGTTGCACTTGTTTGGCCCCGATGCAGCCCAGCGAGGCGCGGCGCATCCGATTGATCGCGACGGGGAACTTACCGCGCCTCAGAATCGCGGGGAGAGAAGCGCTGGATCATGCGATCGCGGCGGCAGGTTGCATGGACTTTGTCCTGGGGCAGTGGGCTTGCGCAGTGCCAGGCCAGTGCGCGCATCTGGTGGGGCCCACCGCCGCCGTTTCAGAACGGCGCGCCGCGCGTTGCACGTGGATATGAAAATCGCGCCTCCCCAGCATGATGGCCGAGTTCCACGTCTCGTGGACGGGCCTCAGGGTCCCTGGGCCGAACGGATATGACTTCGACTCTCCGATGCGCGCCCGATGCTTCAAGGTGGTCGGCCGCGCCGCGAAGCCGATGTCGAGCTGCCCGCATCACTGCGCGCTTCTCGGTTTGAGGCGCCGCAGCGTGCGCCAATTCGAGGGCGGACTGCTGCGCCAGGGCGACGTGGCGCCGCGTCCGAGGGCGCGAAAATCGACGCGGCCGGGAGGCTTGAGATGGTGTCCCTGCCCCGAGAAGACCTTGGTACATTGATCTGGTTAGAAGACTTGAGAGAGGGGGCGGTCACGGGCGATCAGAGATTGAGGTTTGAAAGTGTTGTCAGTTCTCCGTTCGCTTCTGCGACACTTGCAAGACAGCCGAGACGCGTCGATCGCAGCGGCGAGAGTCAACAAAAAAAACATGCAGGCAAGAGTGCCCCGTCTATACGTTGAACCGACGGAGTTCGGAACTTTGAGCACGATTGGCCGCCCGCATCGCGCTCCGAGGCCGACGTGTAGGACATCTCGCAAGATCGGGCGCGCACCACAAGTTGGCCATTCACGTCGTCGAGATCTTGGCGTCCATGGGAGTTCCAAGAGGGACGTGCGCTCGCGAGTAAATTGGCTGCGCTCCTGAGCTGGCGCTGGCGCGTCGAGACATCAAGATCGCCCGCGACTCCGCGCCGGGATACAAGAAGCAACATGCGGTCGCCAAACGAGCCAACTCATTGGTCCAAGCGGAAGTTCGAGCGTTGCTCATGGTTGCCGGCTCCTTCTCTCTATGATGCGCGTTTGCCGTTGGACTCTTCCGTTTGCGATGCAGCGTTCAAAGAGGGTGCAACTAATTCCGTGGAAAAAAAGTCGGGCGAGGATTTTTGAACAGATGTTGATCCCATTCGAGGCGCAGGCGGGCTACCTCCTTCCCCCTGGGTCGCGGGCGATGACGATGCCGAAGATGGATTCTGATTTTCGGAGGGCGTTCACCTCGGGCATGTCCATGACGCTGGGGGGAGAATTAAACTGCAGGCTTTGGCGCGTCTCACGCGACAACTGCCCTGTTGAGCGACGTCGGGTGACTAGTAGTCGAGAAGTCGGACCAGGTATGGCGTAACATGTTAAAGCCATCATCCGAGGACATAGGTCGTGCAAGTTCGCGCTGATGGATGCCCGTCGTCGTGAGGCGAGGACCAAATTGCAGTCCGTTGCCCTCGGGGATGAGTCTCCGCCAGGGTGCTTGCAAGAATCTCCGACCATTGATGATGTTCTCTTGCCGCCAGCGCCCGGCGGTGGCCGCGGAAGGGGCAGGCGACGGAAGCGGCGAGATCGAAGGAAGCCCGTCTGATGCCGAGGGGCCGTTGGCCTCCTCGCTGCCGCCTGGGATCGAAGGGCACGTCGGGGGAGGGAAGGTTCCCCTTCTTCGGGCATAGCCAGGACCCCAGGTAAGGGGACCCGGTTAGCGGTAGGGCCCCGGAGCCCCTGAATTGGCCAGAATCACCAAACCAGGTCTGCCGTAGCTCGTGTTTTTTCGGGTGACGGCGGTTCCGGTTAGTGGAACGGGGCGGGGGGGGGTGTCCCTCGGCACACATCTTTAAACCAGGTCCCACTAAACCCAGTTCTGCTTACGCCCGATCTATGCCTGCAGGAATCGCCGAGATGGAGATCGCCACGGCCCGAGGACAGACTTTCATCGCCGCCCCAGAGATCGGAGGCCCTACGCCCGAACAGGCGTTGGCCAGGACAACGCAGCGCTCCGAAAGCATTTGGCACCTTGAGGAAAAATAATTCTCATCGATTTGTCAAAGGAAGACTCGTAGAAACCATTGCCCTTGGTCGGCAGGATGGGGGGGGATGTTTTCACTTCCGTTCTGCGCTGCGACGACGAAGAAGCTCGACGCATTCCACGTGAGATGCTTGAGGCAAATACTTCGCATACCTCACTCGTACATTAGCCGCGTAACAAATTCAAGTGTGTTGGAGCAAGCAGGTGCTGCCCCACTGAGCAGTACTTTGCTGAATCGTCAGCTGCTGCTCATGGGGCATATTGCCCGGAAGCCAGCTGATGACCCGGTCAGGTGCCTGGTCCTACGCCCTTTGTCATGCCAGCTTATAGCACATAACTTCAAGCGAAAACGGGGGCGCCCCCGGAAAATTTGGATCGAAACTGTTTTTGCGCACGCTGTCCGGGCCGCGGGGGGTGAGGAGGCCCTGCCGCTGCTCTGGCAAGATAGCGTAATTTCTGCCGCAGCCTGGCGCGCAACCGTGAAGCGGTATTGCGACGCATTGTAAGGCCACGGCATTTGTGCTCATGTGCTTTGCACTCAGCTTTGTCTCTCTCTCTCTGCGCTGCGACCCTGAGTGCGCGAGACCCATGCGGGCATGGGCGGAGGGCCCATGCCATGGCAGTGCATGGGTTCAAAAGGTGCACGCATCCGACGCTGCGGGCGCGCCCCCATCGAGGTTCCTCAATGCGAGCAAGGCCGATCGACGGCAGAGATCAGAACAGCAGCCAAAAAGAAATGAGTATTTGGACTTATTGGCCCTGGATCCAGGCTGAGTTGCGGAGGGGTATTGGCATTGAACCTTCGGAGGGATTGCTTATGTACGGGGCGGATCTTTTGTGCGTTGGCATCGTTGACCTCGCGGGTTGCACGTCACCCGGCTCCTATTGGGGGGCGGGTGATGGCTTCTCGTTGGTTGCCGATGATATTGGTAGCTGTGTTCCCTGGGACACCCGCATGGGAGAAAGTGCCGATGTCCTTCCTGAACGAACCAAGCCGCCCAATTGGGCGGGGGCGAGGCGTCCAACGTGGATTTGATCGACCGCTGCCTCCAAAAGGAAAGTCCCGCTCCTCCTGCTCCAGGGAGGAGACGAACCAAGCTCATTGCGAAAAGATCTTGAGTCTTGGGTCGAGAACCTGTCATGGACCATTCCTTGATCTGCCGCGGGAGTGAAGTGGCCCGTTCTCACTGCCAGCAGAGATGGTTTGCTGCCCTAGGCTTTTGGCCGCGGTGGCAAAGTCCAGTTGCAAGCAAGAAGTGGCCGGAAATGAATGGGCCGCCGAGGTTCTGAAAAATAAATAGGGCAGGCTCCGAAGCATCTGGGCCTGGGGTGCATCAGCCGCGATGGAGTGGCCGGATGTGCGGGACAAACGACCTATGCGGGGCGATTCTTTTCCATCCCAGTGGAAGAGCATTCTGAGCTGGTCGAGGACCACCCGAAAAGAACGTTCAAAGGCAGAGTGGTCTTCGACGGATCTGACGTCAGAGATCGAGATCAACAGGTTGCCCTTCTCCAGATGCCATGTAGCATCCCAGCCACTATGCAAGCCAGCAACAAAAAGTGCATGCAGAATCGCGGCCTCTTTCCCGGACACGGGAGAAAGCAAGCTGGCTCCAGGCAAGCCCATGTTCAGTCTAAGTTGGGTGGGACGCCTACGCGGGCGCGGCGGATTTTGGGCGGATATGCGTGACCCAGTGCGCCCTCCCATTCTATCCCTCTACGGGCATCCTGATGCTGGTGGCCAATGGGGAAGGCATTGTGAATCCCACGACTTTCAGGGCGCGGGCTTCGGTGGTCCGCGGCGGGGGGGGGGCAAACCCATGAGCGCAGGCCGCTAGTGTCGCATCGCGGGCTGCCGTAATATTGGCGAGCCGAACGCCAGAGGCTATTTGTTGCCCACGATCATTCTTGCGTGTACCTTCTGGAGGACGAGGGGGGAGCTTGGCCCCCGAACTTGATGTCCCCCGGTATTTGATCGGTCCCTGCGCAGGCCGTGGTGCCTCTGTTCGTCAAGCAGCAGCTCAACAGCGAGCAGGAGCCGTCGCGAGCGCCTGAAACAGCCAGCACTTCAGTTGTTGCGAATGTGCTAGTGTGTTTATTCATTGTTTTGCCGATCGGCGCGGGCCCCAATACCCCCCCTCCCCCCCATGGAGTAGATCTTGGTTGTTTTGTGGCGCCTGTTTCGAGCAGGTGGGGTCCTTCCCCCATCGGTCGCACTTTTGCAAACAGTCGCACCAAGCAGATGTCTGGAGCCAGACCCCCCCCTCACTCCCCTCGCCGCCCAGTGTCGAAACGCCGAATTAAAAAAAATGCTCACACTGTGATGCAATAGTGTTACATCGATGGTGGAAATACACGGCTTCAGCAGCAGCAGCAGCAATGCAAGAGGTCGCAACACGGACGCTCCCGATTACCATGGGTTGTGGTCTGGTTTGCACGGGTGGACCCTTCGTTTGGCATGCTGGCCAAATCGTTCCCTGGAGCCCCCCTTCGTCAACTTTCCCCCTCCTTCTTGCTCCCACCACCCTCACGTTTTCCAGACCCGCCACGTCGTCCCTCGCCCCATCCCATCCCCCCCCTGCGCCTCCCCCTCCCCGGCCTTCTCCCGGCCGTTTTCCCCGGCTGGCCCGCTATTCCCCACCATGAGCTTGAGCAGGGTGCCCGCTCTTCCTTGGCCGCCTGGCGTGCTCCGCTCCCTGACGCGGTGGCATGCATAGCTCTGCCGTGCTGGTGTGGGGTGCCCGCGGGAAAGGTCGCCCTGCTGTAGTGCTCGGAAGACAGCACGTCGCGCTTGCCCCCTCCTTTCCCCCCCTCCGAAGTACATTTGGATCCGATCGATCCGACGCGGTCATCGGTGTCGGCCGGACGGATCCGATTCGACTTCGATGTTCCGACGGCCCGGTGCGGCCCGAGATTGGCACGGCGTTGTTGTGCGTCTTGGCGCGGCCGATCCGATTCGATTCCGACTCCGTGCAGATGCGGTCCTCTTTGAGGCGCGTTCCGACCCGATGCGATTCCCCGATTCGATGCCGGTTGATCTTGGCCTTGGGATCTCCACTCGACTACACGTAAGAGTGACCCTTCGCCGGAGTGACTTTTGGTGCGCGCTCACTGAGGTCCCCCGATCGCCGCGCTCGGTGCGAAAGTAGCGTCTTGCGCGCTTGTGTTTGGCCTCCTCGCGCCCCCGAAAAAGCCGCGCACCAAAGGTCACTCTTACCCAGGGTCACTCTTACGTGCAGCCGATCCACCTTAACATGTTCTTCGTTCAGGGTACCTTCACAGAGCTTTCGGTGAAGGTGCTTGTGCTCTCGACCCCCGCTTTTTGACCATGTGGGCGCCACCCACCCAGGTTTATCCTTTCCAGTTCCCCTCCCCCCTTCCCTTCGTACGCTGTGAGCCCTCCCCCTCTCCCTTCATGGGCCTCCATCCACTAGGCCCCCTTTGCGTAGCGAGTCCTCCACTCACCTTCTCCCTCCAGAGAACAGAGCGTCCATGGATGGAAGGAGGAGAGGAGGGCCATGCAACTAAATCAGATACAGCTGCCGAAGCCTTGCGACAGCCATCGAGGACTTCCGAGCATGTAGCACCGCGCCGAAAGCCACCTCCCTCTTCCGAGTCGACTTTGACAGGGCTGGGGGAAAGAAGCCACCGTGTTGCGAGGACCCTGGCCTCACGACCGCCATCGAGCAGCCGCAGCCTGCAAGCCCCAGCTGCAGCGAAGGCTCCTCTGGAGGGCTCCCCCGTCGAGTCAGGGACCTCGGCATGCTTGTCACCCCCATAAGCTCATACCCCTCCTCCTCGTCCGCCTCCCATGTATCGTCGTCTTACTTCTCCTCGCCTCCTCCGCCTCCCATTCTCGTCGCCTCCTACCCTCCTCACTCCTCGTCCATCCTCCCCCCCAGTGACATTTTCATCCATTTTCTAGCATAATGACGATGGGGGGCGGAGGGGGTGAACGGATGGTGTGTGTTGACGTTTTTGATGCGATTCATCCCACGGTCAAAGTGCGCGATGTCCAAGCTTTGCGGCAGCATGACACCACCGTTGCATTGCTCAGGAACAGTGTAAATGTCCCAGCGTCGGGTGACCTGGCGTTTCACAGATGGCATCGTCTTCCCGAGGATCTTCCATCCCAAACTCCTTTCGTAATGTCACATGTCTTGGAACTACAGCTTAGTGTGTCTGCGGTGGCCCTGGGGCGCTCTGGGACTCGGCAGCTCTTGGCGCGGTGTTGTCGCAGAAGTGGCTTGAAGTGCCAAGGAAACGACATTCGGCCTGGCTAACAGTCGGCGATTGCACATTTACCTCAATGCGGGGACGGCGTGAGCATGGTGTCAGTCTTCGCTCGAGCGCGCCAAGGCTGTTCATCATCTCTCTCGCTCTCTCTCTCTCTCTCTCTCTCGCTCTCTCTCCTGCCCTCCTCTTATCTGCCATGTCGTTCCTGCTGATGGGGTGGAAGCTAGGTGGTGCAAGCTGTGTGATGTAAACTGTGCCGTGTGAGCTCGGCGGTGTGAATCGCAGATGCCAGTCATGGGGTGCAGTCTGATGTTGTGTGAGGTATGCGGTCTAAGCTGTGTGGCGACAGCTCTGCCGCGTAAGCTCAGAGCATGGGCATCTTGGACCGTCCTGGGGGCCTCTTGGGGCCCTCTTGGCCTACAGTCGGGGCGCTGAAGAAGGAACCCTTTTCGTTGGGGAGGGGATTCGGTGTTCCCTACTTGTTTCACAGCTTTCCTAAGGTGTTCCTCAAGTATTCGATGGGAAATCGAAGTTTACTTGTGAAAGAAAGGGGCCTCGTTCCTTATTCGGGGTTCCTTAGGTCAACGTCACGACTGTATGTTGGGTCCCCTCGCTGCCTCCGAACAAGTCTCGCGACAGCGCGCGGGAGCACTTGGGAGACCGCAACGGTGCTCGGCAACCGAGGCGGTGGGCCCCGTAAACACAAAGGATTATCCGAAGGATTTAGGCGACCCCTCCTCCTCCTCCTCCTTCTCCTCCTCCTCCTCCTCTATCTCCTCCTCCTCCTCCTCCTCCTCCTCCTCCACCTCCATCTCCTCCTCGCCCGCCCCTCGGGTCGCCTACGGCCCCGGGAGAATCCGTCCGGCCGGAGGACAATCCACGTCGCGCCTCGGGGCGCGGTGGCAGAGCTGTTTGTCGAAGCGGTTCTTGATGCGGAGTTGGTATCGTGTTGCCCGTTGGTGTTGGACGAAGTTAGGGGAACGAATAATGGCATAAACATAAAAACTCCTTGAGGTTCGCGCGTATTTCTCGGATCTGCGAAGGACCCCCTTGGCGGCGCTTCCGGCGCCGCCCCTGGCGCGCTCTCCGCGCTAGTCTTTTTGAATCTGATCGAATGCGTCCAGCGCAGATCCAAGAAATCCGCGCGGACCTCCAAGTTGTTATGTTTATGTAATTGTTCGTTCCCCTAGAAGTCCACATGCTACTATGGAAAAGTCGGCAACGGACACGAGGTCTGTAAGCACGCGGCGAATGACTGAGTGCGCATCCTGGCGCACGACGGACACCGCAGGGGATATGATGCGTTGTCAATATGTGTGTTGTGGACTCTATGTGTTCTTTCATTTTTGGCGTACTCAGTTACACTGTCAATATCGATGCCGTGACTCCTTGTTTCAGATACGTTGGACATCAGGGGCTTCAAAAGAAGTCATTCATGTTTCCTTGCCACTACGCTGTGTGCATTCTGGTTTTTGGTACCTCGCATTCTAGGGGACTCCTGTTCGGTTGTCGCGAACTGGTCTTCCGCTCTTCTCTATCCCCTGTGAGATGCTATCTATATTAGAATGTTCGTCGTCGTCCTCCACCTGATCATCCTTTCAAGGAAATCAGAAGGGGAGCGGTGGAGGAAGGGGAAGTTAGTGGAGCAGAGGGGGCGTCGTTGGGACGAGCACGATCACGAGGATGGAACAGAAGGAGTAGAAGGATGAACAGGGCCCCCCACCCCGTTCTTCGCCCCTCCCTTCCCCCTGCACCATATCGAGTATCGCCCTTCTGTCCGCCTGGCATCCTCTCTCCCGCCCTCGCCCCTCCTTTATCCATCGTGTCCGTTTCCCCCCCGCTTTCTCCGTCGCCTGTTCCTTCTTTCGTTATCCTCTCACCTCCATCGTCTCCTGGGTCTCACCTCAACGCATGCGACGATGTGCGTGTCTGTGCATGCATGCACGCATGTATGTATGTATATATGTATGTATGGATGGATGGATGGATGGATGGATGGATGGATGTGTGTATGTGTGTATGCATATGTGTATGTATGTATGCATGGATGCATGAATGTATGCATGTAACAACGTAGATAGGTGTTTGTGTGTGTAGCTATGTATGTATGAATATGAGTATGTTTGGATGCATGCATGCATGCATGCATGCATGCATGCATGCATACATGCATGCATGCATTCATGCAGGCAGGTAGGTAGGTACGTGTGTGCGTTTCCTTGCCCGGCTCCAGAGCCCCTGGGGCCCTTCCCAAGGGGCCCAGGCTTTTGGAGCCGCCAGGAGTGCATCTGTGCCCTCATTCCTCTGGGGCCCACTGGCGGGCGTCATCGCGAGACGACTCCCAGACTGGACACACGTACACACACACTCACATCGTCGGAGATTGTGGCTCCTCTCACCTCCTCGCCGTCCCCTCCTCCCCATCGCCGCCACTCCCTCCCGCGGGGCACCACCTGCAGCTGCTTCTGTGGACGGCGGGGAGAAGAGATCGGTGCCCGTCGTCCGAAGGGTCCTTCCCGCTTGGGTGGTGTGTGGCCGTGTGGCTCGGGGGCGTCAGCTCCTGGACCGGGTGGCGGTGCTTCACCTCGAGGTGCAGTCGAAACCGATGGGAAGGATGGGTCGCTTTCCCAAGGGCACCTTGCGTCCGTGCCTCTGCGGCCCATGTCTGGATCACCTTCGTGTCCCGACCCCGCTCGCAGGGCTTCGACACGGGCGACCAAGGGGCTTGCATCCCCACCGCGCCTCCTCACGAATTATCAGGTTTGACCGTATGCTCTGGGCCCAAGCGAGCACCCCGCCTGGGGGAGGAGGAGGAGGAGGAGGAGGAGGAGGAGGAGGAGGAGGAGGAGGAGGAGGAGGAGGAGGAGGAGGAGGAGGAGGATGGAGGAGGAGGAGGAGATGGAGGAGGAAGGAGGAGGAGGAGGAGGAGGAGGAGGAGGAGGAGAAGGAGGAGTGGCCAAAAGTCCAGACGTTCTGAAGCGTTCCTCCCCTCGCCGCCGCTGCCTCCGCAGCCGCCGCCCCCCCCAACCGCCAGGCAGCACCTCGCTGCATGGCGCCCGGGCGGCCAGCAGCGACCACAGCACCTGCAGCGGCGCCGAGGCCCTGGCGGCCGAGAAGGACCCCAGCGCATTCAGTCGCAGTGGGGGCCGTTTGGGGATTGCTCCTCTTCCTCCTCCTCCTCCTCCTCCAAGCCCTTCCTGCTCAGGCCAGGGGGAATTGGGGCTCCCTGTCAGGATTCGATGCAGGCTACACCCCTACCGCCTGAAGCCCCAGCTCCCGCCCACCATGTGGGCCTCTCTCCTACAAACAGTACTCTATAATCCACTCTCTTAGCGACACATGGCGGGCACACGATGTTTCTACTCGCTTGAGCTTCGCAGACCTGATACTGTTGCCAGGGACACAGCAGCGGCGCCGCGCAGGAGACCCCCCGACAAAGATGAAGCTTGAGAAGCACATGATGGTGCAGTTCGGGTGGCAGCGGGGGAGGTACACAAATAAGAGCGCGGGCTGCGCTATCATGCTCAGACGACGGGCCTTCAGGGAGGCCCACGTTCATGAAGTATTGGAGCCACCTCGAGAACTGGCGGGGCGGGGGGGGGCAGTTCGACTCAAGAGTCCGACCTTCGACATTATGGTTGTGGTGGCCTACTACCCGCCCCCGCAGAGACACCAGATCGACCACTGGAACACGACATGTGCCAAGCTCACGGCGTGGCTTCATCGGACGATACAGCGAGCCCGAGCACGCTGCATGATAGTGGTGGGAGCTGATACGAACTCCGAGTTCGGTCGACGCAGTGGGCCCAACGGCACCCCGACGACGACGCGCGACGACGTGCACGTCGGCCCGTTCGCCAACAGCTACGAGAACGGGGTGAGTGCCGCACTGTGGCGCATGATGAGCATGGAAGGCTTGGCTGCGATAGACACCTTTTATGACACGGGGCCAACTTACTTCGGGGCCGAAGCTCACATCACCTCGCACCCTGACCACCTATGGGGACCGTGCGATGCTGTGCAGGCGACCAGATCGTGTGTATGTCTTAGACGAGCGATGCTTGATCTACAACGTATACCTTCACCTTTACTTCGAGACCATTGCCCCATGTTGTGGAGAGTACACTACAGGCTGCAGACCGCACCTCATCCTGATGGACGGCGCCTTCGGTGGGACAGAGACCTCATGGGACAAGCTCTGAACCGGCGAGGCGCCCCAGAGTTCATTGCAGAGCTGGAGAGACGATGCGAGAGTTCGGCGAGAGCGTGGCGAAGTTTTATTAGAGCAGAAGACCCCCCACTTTCTTGGTTTCACTTGGTGGCGGACGTCACGGAGGCAGCACAGACAGAATTCATGGAGACCAAGACGAGGGGGCAGTCTGCTGCATATCGAGAAGAGCGAGATCGACTTCTGGCAATGAGGCGTCAGCTCAGTGTTCACTTTCGGGAAGAGGATCGACTTAGACTTCGGGCTTGCGATCGTGAGATCAAGCGTGCACGCAGCAGGCTGGACAGAGAGAATGTCGAGGCGCTGCTGAAGGAGGCACAAGTGGCCTCTGGCCGTGGCCATACCAGCACAGTTTGGAAGCTCGCCTTTCAGATCGGGGCGCGTTATCACGGGGTGCGGAGACGACGCTTCAACCTGATCCCTACATACGCCCCGACGTTGCAAGAGTGGCAGGACACGCTGGAGTCCGACGCTAAGGAGGGGGGCTTCTCTGCTGTTCGTCTACGCGGACCAGGCATTCCTCGCAGCGTGGCACTGGCTTCGAGAGAGATTGAGGACCCAGATGGGGAGTGGAAAGATTTGCGAGGGCGACCTGGATCGGCCGCCTACGACGACTGGACGAACACGCTGCAGTGTCTTGAGAAGGCGGCCAGGCGCAGGTATTCCCCCCCGCACTCCGCCCCCAGCGAGGTGTGGCTCATGGCGATGAGGGCTGCTACTCGAGAAGCGAGGGGCGAACCAGCTGATGAAGATCCTCACGAGAGAAGGCAGCGAGTTCAGGTCCCTTGTCCACGACTGGCTGAGCGCATCTTTGAGATCCTGAGGCAGATTCGGAATACGTGTCGCACACCCTACCAGTGGCACTGGTCAAAAACGTGCAAGTTGAGCAAGGGCAATGACAAGAGGGGCACCAAGGCGATGAGACTCATACACTGCTACTGCCCGTTCGGCAAAGCTTGGTACAGAGGCATACTTGTTCGACGCGAGCGCTCAAGACTTCCATTGCACGCACATGGATATGCAGCGCGCAGGTCGAGGCAGAACGCGCAGCTGGTTGCTAAACTTCACTCGTGGAGATTACGAAAGAAGCTCGTCTCCCACCTGCAGATCAAAAAAGACATGAGCAACGCGTTCCCTTCGACAGATCATGACATCCTGGAGCAGGTGATTGGGGAAGTGATCCCCGACATGCAGGACCAACTCTTCTTGCACCAGAGGATTCGTGAGGCGGTCATCGAGGTTGAGGCGGGAGAAGAGAAGGGCTTCTTCCAACCCACCCACGGCACGGGCATGGGCGACGGCAATGCGTGTGAGCTGTTCGTGCGGTCGTTTGTCAAGCCGCTGGAGGTGCGGAGCCAGATCCTCTTGCAGGGCACCCAGGCCACCTTAGATGCGGAGAGCGGCGGCTCCGTGCCGATGATGGAGGCGGCGACGCTGATTGACCCGCCCATCCACTCCGAGCAGATCGACATCTCCATGCGCGACTACGCCGATGACGTATCGCAGACCCTGCCGCTGCCGAATGGCAACCCCGTCCACGCAGCGGAGAGGGCAAAATTGTCGTCTCGTATCTTGTCAGATCAGCTCGAGGAGATAGGAGGGTTTACGCAGAATGTTGACAAAAGGATCATCCTCCCAGTCTTTGTGGGCCCAGGAGGATACACGGCCACGAGGGCCGTGCTCTCAGGACTCGTCCAGTTCCCAGGGCAAACTCGAGCTGAAACCGTTTACCTCGGAGGACTTGAGCATTTGACGGGCGGTTCGGGGGCGGAAGTAAAACTTCGTGTCGACGCTACGCGCTCTGCCTGGACCAAGCTCGGGAGGTTCTGGAACCAGCACTCGTCTTTGAAGCTTAAGAGGATGGCTTTCTTAGGAATTATCCACAGTGCGGCCTACTCGGGCCTCGGGGTCTATATCCTAGGTAAGAAAGACGATGCCAAGCTTGACTCGGTGATCTTGGGATTTCGCGAAGGTGGCGATGAGGGGCGTTGCCAAGAGAGTAGGGCCAGAGGGAGATAGGATTCGGACACCTTCGGCGAGAGTCATGCACAAGAGGTTGCGCATCGCTGACTCGAGGACTGAGCTTCTGATCAGGCGCCTCGGCTACTGGCAGCGCCTTGCGGTGAACCCCGCAGACTCGGCTCAGGTTGTTGCGGCGCTCTTCGGGCACTTTTCTTCGCTGGGCGAGTCTCCGACGTTCACCCCCGACGGTTGGATTCGGTCTGGCGCTAACCCGTGGGCCCTCCAGCTCCAGCAGGATATCAAGCTCTTCTCGGTCATCCCCACTGGGCACCAGTTCCTGGCAAGAGGCTATTCGATCTGGGACATCTTCACGAACTACCGTGTCGCGTGCCACTTCAAGAGCGTGAGTCTCAAGGGTTTTCGGAATGCCTATTGGGAACAGGAACATGAAGGACCCCTTCGGCCTCCTCCTCAGCACGGGGTTCTACCAGAGGTTCCACAAGTCCCTGAAGACCCTCCTCAAGAATACTACTGTGACCTCCCAGGCGAGAACGGGGACCCCTGTGGGCACGTCTTCTACTCCAGAGCGGCCTTGAGAGCGCATCAGTGCCACCACCCGTCGCACAAGATCAGGGTCCCGATGCACCAGCTTGTGGTGACTAACCAGTGCTGCTACTGCTCCTCTACCTGTTCGTCAGTGGTGCTGGCCAAGAGGCACGTGGTACAGTCACTTCGCCGCCGCCGCTGCCTCACAGATTTCAGTGCGCATTCACCCCCCCTGGTTGTGCCCGACGACCTCCACTGTCCGATCTGCGTGGACCCAGAGTCTGCACACGAGGCTTTCAGAGAGGGAATGGCCGAGGCCACACTGGCTCAAGAGCCGTTTCAGACGCTGCAGGCACTTCAGACACACATCCGAGAAGCCCACGCGCCGCCCGCCCCCGATCTTGTGCTGGATGTCGAGCCTGGCGGAGCGGGCTCCCGCCACTGGGACGGAGCAGAGGCGACGCGATCTCGAAGGTGGGCGAGGCGATCGGACTCGGAGTGGAGACCGCCGAGGACGAGGCGCTCGGGGAGCCCCACCGCAGCAGCGAGGAGCGGGCCCCGCAGCCGCGACTCCAGGAGCAGGCCAGCCCCCGCAGCAGCAGATCGACGTGTGGGGCGCTACCGACAACCACTACGGGCTGAGAGAGGACGACGTCAGGAACCTTCCGCACATCCCGATCGAGCAGGTGCAGCAGATGATGCCCATCCTGATGCGCATGTCCCTCAGGCACGAGCAGGCGATCAACGCCCTCGAGTCGGCCATCTTCCGTCACGTCCAGCTCCCTGCCAACCGCGACGTGCCCCAGTCGATGATGCTCACGGCGCGGTACTACGGGCAGGAGGCCAAGCGACTTCGAGAGGCGAATCAGGCCGCCCTCAAGAACGGCGACCCCGTCCCCAAGCTAGAGGCGTTGGGGATCCCTCATCCACACGTGTGGGTCGCGCTGGTGGGCGCCCTCGTGGGACAGGGAGACAAGGTGGGCCAGGCCAACGCGAGGCTGATCAAGGAGTGCCAGGATCGCATGAAAGCGGCACCCACTTCCAACGGCGAACTGGCCGACCAAGTTCGGCATTGCAGGCTGCAGACGACCCACGCGCAGGACAAAGTCAAGATTTGGATCGAGGCCAAAGCGGCAGGCATAGAGGACACGGTCGTAGCCGCTCTGGCGCAGCTCGGGGGAGTTCACAAACACGGAGCGCCTCCACGCTCCCACAACGCCAGGTTGTTGCAGATTCACCTCGACGCGCAGTAGTGGCCAGGCTGCTGGAGGCAGTGAGAGGAGAAGGGCCTGCAGGCACGCACTGCTCACCTCCCGAGCCGCAGCTCGGAGGCAGAGGGTACCGACCTTGCAGATCCGAGCAGACAGGGCCCGCAGGCACGCACTGCTCACTCTCCGAGCTGACTCGAGAGAGCAGAGGGTACCGACCTAGCGGGTCCGACGCAGCAGTGGGGCATGCATCACAGAGGCTATCGACTGGACGGTTGGCGACTTTGACCACGCCGTTGAGGGCCACCTCTTCTCGTTCACTAACCTTGACAGCATCGCTGATGGCGGCTCCGACGGAGGGGAGATCAAGATCTCCGCGTCCCCAGAGAGCTACTCGACCTCTCACCTCGGCCACGTCTTCAGTGAGTTCGGCTACTCCTGGTCCGATGACTTCGATTAGGCCGAATAATCTCGCCGTCGCTGCCGCCTCTCCCGACCTTCAGACTCCTCCTCCTCCCCCTCCCCCGATCCCTCTCACCAGAGTCTTGGGTCTTCTAGGTCTCAGAAAGCGCGAAGGCCCTCCCCCAGGGCCGTAACTTTTTAGCTTCGTGTGTTCAGTGGCCCCCTCGGGGCCGTTCGGGCCTGCCTGAGTCGTAGTTGTCTCTTTTCCAGAAATTCGAGAGGCGAGGATCTGACTGATAATGCTGGGCCTCCCTGCTCTGCGCTTTCTGTTTGGAGCCTCGAAGTTTCGTCCCCGATTTTCGACCCACGTCCCCACGGCCGAGCCCTGCCTTTAAAGCTTGGGGCCCTCCAGCCGAGGTGGGGTAAGGTGGGCGGGAGCAGAGTGCACCTAGTGCCGCGCGTGACCAGTCTATATTGAGTCACCGCGCCCTCTAGAAGCGAGTCAGTTCGGAGCTTACATTATTTTGGCTTCGGAGTTCCCCGCGTTACGGCAGGATCATCTGGCACCCTTCTGCAGAGTCGTTCGTTCGTTCGTCCTCCTCCTCCTTCTCCACCTCCTCCACCTCCTCCTCCTCCTCCTGCTCCATTCCGTTTCTTCCTCGTGCCCCTTCTCCTTTTCCTCTTCCTCCTCCTCATCCTCCTCCTCCTCCTTCTCCACCCCGTTTCTTCCTTGTGCCCCTCCCCCTCCTCCTCTTCCTCCTCCTCCTCCTCCTCCTCCTCCTCCTCCTCCTCCCTATTTCTTCCTCGTGCCCCTCCTCCTCCTCCTCCTCCTCCTCCTCCTCCTCCTCATCCTCCTTCTCCCCTTCTCGTCTCAGGACGTGTTGGCGGGGGGTGGGGCTGGGCTTCGGGGCGTTGGTTTGAGAGAGCCGTTTGGGGATCACTCCTCCTCCAACCCCTTGCTTGCTCCTGCCCCTTCTAGTGGCTCCCGTTGGCTCTGAAGCTGTCCGCCAGCGCCACGCGATGGGGAAGCCAAAATGCAGTGCAGAAAGACGAGGAGAGCGGTGAGCAATGGTCGGCTGCCGCAGCTCGCTGTGCGACCCAACCGATCACCTGCCTGGCGACACACGCACCAAGGACCGCACGATCGTTCTCGCTCGGTGCCTCCCACAGCGTGTGCGCTTCAGTGGACATGCTGGCGCCCACTTCGGCATGCCCTCGCGCGCCTCGCGGCCCGGAGGGAGCTCAGCCCACGGTCTCAGCGGGCGCGATGGCAAGACGTTTCCGTTTCGTTTCGGTACACCCATCACACGCTTCGTGGCTCCCATCCGCATTGCCCACAGCTCCATCCCCCTCGTGACGCGTTGCCTATGCGAAGAGGGTCATGTCATGCGTTTTCGCAGCTGAATAGGGTTTGTTCCTTGCCAGGCTATCTGCTTACCTTCACGCGGATACCATCGTACTTGTTGTTCAACGTCATTCTTTACATTTGGTGGTTGATTGCGGAATAGTGTTAGCTTGTCACGCGTCATATGCGATTGTTTGGCGTTGTGAGGAGCGAAAGTGGCAGCCGTCTGGCAATACCCCCCTGATTCGTTACCCATCCGTCCCGCGCGATGCTCCAGACTGCTCCAGAAGGGGCTGAGGCCTGTGGCCATCAACGTCCGGCACCGTCGCAGGCTCTGCAGCGGCAAAGGGGGTGCGAGAGGAGGATGGAGGGCGAGGGGCGAGGGCCGAGGCGGAGGAGGCGGGGGAAAACCAGGATTCGGCGGGCGACAAACTGTAAAATATCGGCTCTTCTGCTACCTGGGTCGCCTGTCCCAGGATGGCTCCAAAGTTTATACCCCGACGCGCACCGTAGGGGTATGATGTGTATCCTCCTCCAGCCGTCCCGGGACCGGCGTCCCCGAAGGCAGAAAAGTTGATTCCCAACCATCTTGTGGTATTGGGTCCTTCTTTTGAATCCGCATCGCCGCGTCCCGTTTCAATCCCCCTCTCCTTCCTACCGCCCAACCCCCTCTTGTTTCCTCGCACGTCTCGTGGCCCCACACGGAATTTCACCGAAGGCTCCAGAGGCGATGACCGTATTCCGCCCAACCCTCCGCTCGGCGCAGCTCTCACGTTTCGTGGCGCCGTGGGTAGTTGCAGCGAAGGCCCCAGGGACGGTGACTGCATCTGGCCCCGCCCTCATGCCGGCGCACCCCTTACACGTTCCATACCCCCTGAGGGAGCCCAACCGAAGGCCTCAGCGGCGATAACGGCATACCGCTCTGCCCTCATTCCGGGATACCTCTCACACGCTTCGCGGCCCCATATGGAGCTCCGACGAAGGCCCCAGTGGCGACCGCCGCATATTTCCCCCCCGAACCCCCCCGCCTTGAATCCGGCCCCATAAGTAGCTCCACCGAAGGCCCCAGAGGCGATGAGGTGATTTCCCGTCGCCGATTTCGTACATCCCTCATGCGTTTCGTGGCCCCACGGGGCTCCGCCGAAGGCCCCAGTGGCGATCGCTACATCCTGCCCTGCCCTCAACTTCTGCGTACCGCTGAGCCCTTCATCTGGTGCACCCCTCACAGGTGCCGTGGCCCCACAGAGAGCCCAACTGAAGGCCCCAGCGTCGATGTCCGCATACCTCCCCGCCTCCAATCGGGCATACCCTTCGCATGTTCCGTGGCCCTGTAGGGAGCGAAGACCCCAGTTGCGGGGACCGTATACAATCCTGGCCTCAGCCTGGCGCACCTCTCACACGATTCGTGGCCCCACAGGCAGCAGTGGCGATGGCCGCATACCGTCCCGCCCTTAACGCTGCGCGCCCCTCACAAGCTTCCTGGCCCCACACGGAGCTCCACCGAAGGCGAGGGTTCGTTGGCGCCAGGATTGCGGGGCAATGGGCACGGGGGGGGGGCGGGGGATTTTTGTCGAGTTGGGCAAAGTCTGTCGCCCTGACAGAGTCAGCCAGCCTTTTGGGGAGGAAGGTGACCATCTCCCTCGCAGCTGGGAGGCCCCCCGCAGGTTGCACCAAGTTTTTGGTTTCGGCCTCCCATTTGCGGGATCATTCGACGTGGGCGAGGGGGGCGAGCAGGAGGAGGAGGAGAACACGGCGGACGGCCACGAGGGTCGCTGGACGAGGGAGAAAACGACGACGACGACGACTACTACCACGACGACGACGATGACGACGACGACGACTACTACCACGACGACGACAACGACGACGACGACAACGACGAGGGTGGCGACGGCGGCGATGACGACGAGGACGGCGACGGCGGCGTCGAAGTGGACGGCGACGAGGACGGCGGCTCAGACGGCGATGACGATGGGAACGACGACGAGCATGGTCAGTCCGCGAAGGACGTTTGCGGCGCCCTGCTGTCCGAGGGCCCCGTCCGGCGCGGGCGTAAACGGCCGCTCAGCTGCGGCCGGTGAGGTGGCCTCCCTTCAGCGCGCGGCGGGGTGGCCCTAGGAGGGGGATGGGGGGGAGAAGGAGGAGTCCGCTTGTTGGTTGCCGCGCGCGCTTGCCCGATGCTAACAGGCGGCGCTCGGGAAGAGGAACGTTTGATGGGGCATCTGAGGAGGGGACTCCCGGCGGGGGGGTAGTTCGGTTCGGCGGCGAGCCCAGGGGGGAAGTGAGGAAGGGCGGGCCTTTTCAGAAGGCCTGGAAGTCCCCAGGCCTTCTGAGAAGTTTTCTAATCATTCCCCGAAGGCACAGGACAACTTCTCAGAAGTCCGGAGGTCTTCTGAGGAGCCCCGCCGCCTTCTGAGAAAGTCTCCTCCTTCTCACTTCCCCCCTCGCTCGCCGCCGATCGGTAGCAACTCGTGGGAGCCTTGCGTGTCGTCGGGATTCCGCCTGCAGAGTGCACCAGCGTGCGTCAGCGTCTGGTAATCGTTGAGGAATCGCCGATGTTTCATCGACTGGCGTTGATTCAGCGCCGAGTAGCGTTTGTTAGCGCTGACTCGCCAAGGCGAGCAAGATAACGTGAGAGGCTCACGTGAGTTGCCACAGGGAGGTGGGGAGTTCCGAGGCTGGGATTCACACGTGTCCACCGCCCCGGGGAGGCGATCTCCGGGGATCAACTGTCGCAGGCCCGCGCGGCTTCGCTGGATCCGGGCGCCCTCCGCGCCGCCAAGGGGGGGGTGCAGCGCCGACCCACGACATCCGCGCGAGCCCTCAGATGTTTGCCCCCCCAGTCGGATCTGCTCAGCCTCCGGCCTCGCACAGTCGCAGCACTTTCGACGCACCCTGGGGTGCTCTCTCTTCCTCCCTCCGAGCGCGCTCCCGCGCGCGCCCTCCTCCGTCGCAGGCGGCGGGGGTGCTTTGTCTGCGCCGGGGGGGGGTCGACACAGACAGCGAAACCAAACGGGCACACCGACACCGAAGGCGTGCTTCGGGCAGGCCGTCATGACAGTGTGGTTTCGCTCTGGCCAAGCCTGGGGAGACGCTAGAGGTGGATGGGGAAATAAGCAGGAGGAGAGGAGGGAGGAGAAGAGGACGAACCATGGGGCAGGGAGGAGCGGGAGGAGAGAGGCTGCACCAGGGATGGGGTGCGTCTTAGATGCCGGATGCAGGGGCGTAGATTCGATCCGCCTGACAGCGAGTTTTTTTTTCAATGCTCGCGAGGAGGGTCGAGCCCCAAATGCAGGCGATTTGAGTACGAGCAGTTTGAACGTTTGAAGCCCGGGAGGCCTCCGTCCGCCGCGGCGACCGCCAGCCCGTCATCCTTCCGCCTCCTCCTCCTCCTCTTCCTCCGCCTCCGCCTCCTCATCCGCCTCATCCTCTTCCTCCTTCTCCTCCTCCTCCTCCTCCTCCGCCTCCGCCTCCGCCTCATCCTCCTCCTCCGCCTCCGCCTCCGCCTCCGCCTCCTCCGCCTCCTTCTCCTCCTCCTCCGCCTCCGCCTCCGCCTCCGCCTCCTACTCCTCTTCCTCCTCCTCCGCCTCCACCTCCGCCTCCTCCTCCTCCTCCTCCTCCTCCTCCGTCTCCGCCTCCTCCTCCTTCCCCGCCTCCGCCTCCACCTCCGCCTCCGCTTCCTCCTCCTCCTCCTCCTCCTCCTCCCTCTCCGCCTCCTTCCCCGCCTCCGCCTCCACCTCCGCCTCCTCCTCCGCCTCCTCCTCCGCCTCCGCTTACTCCTCCTCCTCCTCGTCAAGTTTTGGCTCGAGAGCCCTGGGTGCGCCTCCCATAGGAAATCAATAATTTTCGCCTCCCAGTGGCCTCTTGGGACGCCTCTTGGGGGCCTCTTGGGGCTTCTTGGGGGGCTCTGGGGGCCTCCTGGGAGCGTCTTGGGGCGAAAGGCTAGACTTTTCGGTTCGTGGTCCCCCTCTTGGGGCCGTCTTGGCGCCCTCTTGGGCCGTCTTGAGCGCCTCTTGGGCCGTCTTGGGGCCCTCTTGGACAGTTTTGGGGGCCTCTTGGGCACCTCTTGGGCCGTCTTGGGGCGTTCTTGGGGGCCTCTTGGGCCGTCGTCAACGCCGTGAAAGCCGACAAAGCGCATATGCTAACAGTATACGTTTTCCTTTTTGGGAAATCGATGATTTCGGCCTCTTGGGGCCTTCTTGGGACGCCCCTTGGGCGCCTCTTGGGGGCCTCTTGGGCCGTCTTGGGCGGTCTTGGGCTCTCTTGGAGCGAGCGCTCCTGGGCCGTCTTGGGGGGGAACCCGAAAAACATGCGAAAACCCGAGGGAAAACCCGAAAACGGCCATTAACCATTAACACGCAGTTGTGCACGCTACCCCCCTCCCCTGGAACCCCTCCCTTTAGGGCGTCGCCCGCACCAGAACGCCATCACTCGTACCTCGCTCTTTCCGTTACCTCGCTCGATGCTTAAGAAAACGCAGTTTTGCAGCCAGTGTCTCGAAATTTCTTGCCCCAAACACGCGGCTGAAGAAACCGCAGGCGCTGGCCAGACCCTGGGGACATTTCTTAAACTTGATGTGCTCCTGGGGTCGTGTGGGTGCCCACTTGGGCCTCGCTTGGATTCGACTGGGCCCCGATGAGGTTGGGCTCGGGCCCACTTGGGCCCCGCTTGGGTTCGGCTGGGCCGCGCTTGGATTTGGCTCGGGCCCCACTTGGATCCGGCCGGGCCCCAGTTGGATTTGGCTCGGGCCCCACTTGGGCCCCACTTGAATTCGGCCCAGGCCCCACTTGGATTTGGCTCGGGCCCCGCTTGGATTCGGCTGGGCCCCACTTGGGTTGGGCTCGGGCCCCACTTGGGCCCCACTTGGATTCGGCTCGGGCCCCACTTGGATTTGGCTCGGGCCCCACTTGGATTCGGCTCGGGCCCCACTTGGGCCCCACTTGAATTCGGCCCAGGCCCCACTTGGATTTGGCTCGGGCCCCGCTTGGATTCGGCTGGGCCCCACTTGGGTTGGGCTCGGGCCCCACTTGGGCCCCACTTGGATTCGGCTCGGGCCCCACTTGGATTTGGCTCGGGCCCCACTTGGATTCGGCTCGGGCCCCACTTGGGTTGGGCTCGGGCCCCACTTGGGCCCCACTTGGATTCGGCTCGGGCCCCACTTGGGTTGGGTTTGGGCCCCGCTTGGGCCCCGCTTGGATTCGGCTGGAGGAGCTACAAGGATGGAGTGGATTGGTGTTCAACATGGTGTTCAGGCAGTGGCGGAGCGCACAGTCGTCCTAAAAGTTTGCAGCAACGGCAGGGGTGGACGGGGGATGGTTTTCAAAATGGGGCTCTCGCTTTAGCGCCGCGTGCATGCGTCTTAAGAGCTTGCAAGATTCACAAGGGTGGAACACCGTTCCTTTTCAAAGCGCGGCTTTGGCTTGAGACCCCCTCATAATCAACAGCCAGAAGGTTGGATATGTGTAAAGATTGCGCCAGTTCAGGGCAGCTCAATTTCAAAGTGGGGCTCTCAGTCTTTCTCATCACTCGTCGGAGCGATGCAAGGCAGATCTTTGTCAGAGCGGGGCTTCCGCCCCAATAGAAGGCCTCTACGAGGCTCTTCCAGAGGGCGCATCATGCAGTGAAAAGGAAGGAAGGCTTGCATGGATGTATCTTTCCTTCGGCGGACCATCGCTGACCATCGCTCGGACGTGTGCATTTTTCCTTCGGCGAGGACCATCCAGGAACATCCTTGATCATTTGGCGAAGAAACCACGCACGAAACCGAAAAAAAAACACAGGGAATGGACGTCCGAGCGATGGTCAGTGTATGGACTTCTGAGGAGGGGATTCGGGACCGGAGGGCGTGCCGAAGCATCGTTGACGCATCTTGGGTGTGCCCTGGTCCTTCTCACATTCTCCTTGGGAGGGGAGGGGGGCGGCAAAGAGGGGGGTGATGACTAGGGGGGGGTGGATATCATGGGGGGGGGCATGATATTTCCACAGATTTCATGGCGCCTCTTCTTATTTCATTACGTCCTTGGCCCCCCCGCTGGGCCGCGCACATGCCGCTGGTCATGATTTGCACCCCCCTCTCTTGGACACCCCCCTCTTAGCCGCTCCCGAGAGGGGGGCGGAGGGGGCAAATGGAGCGATGGCTTGGATTGGCGGTCGTGGCTTCGGAGTCTCCCACTAGAGCTGGGCGCGCCAGCATAGGAGCTGGAACAGTTTTCTCAGCGCTTGCAGCGCGCCTGGCTGTTTTCAAGGTCCAGTCGGCCCCGGGGAAGCTGCGACAAGTGGATGGGCCCAGCCCTGGCCAGGTTCCCCCTTCTGCTGTTTTCCCCAGCCCTCGCGACCTCGTCCCAATGGTTTCGGGCTCGCTTCAACCCCTGCCAGGGATGCTTTCCGATCTGGCAACCCCCACGTTCACCGGGTTTCCAGCTTCCACTCGTCGCAGCCTTTCTGTGCACGTGAGAGGTGGCCCTTCACCAGAGTGATTTTTCGTGCACGGCGTTCGGGGGGCGCGGGGTGGGACCAAAACTTCAGTCGGGCATGTCCCTCTACAGGAGGAGCATTCAAAAGTAATTAAACCATAGTCTGGAGACGATTTTTGAATATTTCTGATTACTTTTCCATGTGTTTGGGGTATTGTCAATGGTCCCCCCCAAACCCGTAGGGGGACATGCCCGACCTAACGCTTCTGTCGCATCGCGTGCACTGGCCGGCAGGCCGCGAAGCCAAGGTCACTCGTGCGTGAAAGGCCGCTTTCTCGCGCTGCCGCTCCGTGGGTGAAGGCGCACGAAGTTGCCCCCCTCCGTGTTTCAAGATGCAGTGCTCTCGTTGGGCGGCGAGCGAAGGGGGAGGAGTGAGAAGGAGAAGGCCTTCTCAGAAGGCGGCGGGGCTTCTCAGAAGCCCTCGCGCCTTCTGAGAGGTGTTTTCTGTTCTCGAGGACGGCTCAGGAAACTTCTCAGGAGTCCCAGGGACTTCGAGCCTTCTGAGAAGGCCCGCCCCTTCTCACTTCCCCCCTCGCTCGCCGCCGACTCGTGCCAACAGCGCACCTGAGCATTGACTGCAAGAGTTTTTTCTGCGGCCCGCTCGGATTTCGGTCAGGTGGTGCCGAGGCTGCAGAAGGTCTACCCGACGGTTGCTGCGCGAGCGTGGTCTGCATGGGGTTGTCCTCGTTGTCGTCCTGCGTATGTCTCGTATTGCTTGCGCTACAGCGTGTGCCGTTGCGTGATCAAGATCGTTGGTTTGCGTGGCGCAGTGCACGTGGAGCCTTTTGTGCAGGACAGGCAGGGAGCAGCAGTGCGGATGAGCATCAGGAGGAAGAGGGGAAGGAGGAGCAAGGGTGGGGGGAGGGAGAAGGCGGAGGAGGAGGAGGAGTACGAGGAGAATGATGAGTAGGAGGAGCAGGAGGACGAGGTGAAGGAGGGGGAGGTCAGACGCAATGGCTAATCCAGGGAAGTGTCGGGGTAACTAGGGAGAGAGGGAGGGGGGGAGGAGTGGCAGAGGAGAGGAGGTGGTGAGGAGAGGCGGCACGGAGTTGGAGGAGGAGGAGGAGGAGAACAATGAGGAGAATAGTCCTTGCGACGATGGTGGATAGGGAGCGATCTGCCAGGGTAAATTGGAAGAGCTGCCATGCGAGATGGTAAAAGTTGCCAGGAGGAAAAGTTGCCAGGCGAAATGAATGGACAAGTTGCCCGGCGAAATGGGGAACGTTGCCAGGCGAGATGGGGAGAGTTGCCAGGTGAAATGGGAAACATTGCCAGCGAGATGGGTCAAGTTGCCAGGTCCGAGAGCACCGAGGCTCGTGCTGGCGCTGCCTCTCAGCAGCCACCGCCGGACACCTCAACGAGCTTGCGTTGAGTGTCGGGCCGTTGCTGCGCCTTTTCCCCCTCATGTTGAACCCCGCTCTCCCACGTACAACTTGCGTATCGATTCGAGCGGCCATTTGAAACCACCGGTGCAATTCTGACTAAACGCGTGTGGGCGAAGCTCGAGGATGGAGCTTAGGTGGATGATGATGATGATGTTGCTGATGCTGATACTGATGCAGATGATGATGCTGATGATGCTGATACTGATGATGATGTTGATGATGATGATGATGGTGATGATGATGCTGATGACGATGCTGATGACGATGATGCTGCTGCGGCTGGTGATGATGAGGATGACGATGATGATGATGCTACTGATGATACTGATTATACTGATGATGCGGATGATGATGATCATGATCATGATCATGATGATGATGATGATGATGATGATGATGAGGAGGAGGAGGAGGCACATCACAGGGTGTACTCAAGGAATAAGGATCGTCCAGAGATGACTCTGGAACCTCAGGCCTGGGTACTCGAGCATGTGCCACAGTTATTGAGTCGGACTCAAGCTCTTCATCAGTCTGAGAATCAGCATTCTCCGCGTTGGGCGCACTTCTAATTCCGCCTTTGCTGGACATCGCACTTGCTAACCTCTGGACAGCGAAATCAGAGCCGAGCCTCAGAACATCACCTCATATGGAGGCAGGGGCAACAACAAACCTGAGCAGCTCCTGGCACTTGGACTAGTCCTCAACCTCAACCTCACAGAACTCCAGTTGGGGGGAATCGAGCATCGTCAATCCGAAATCTTCACACAGCGTCTGGGGGTAAACCATCTGATTGGCTGATGGGGAGATGCGGTCCACATCTTTCACAACAAATAATATGGTCCGATGGATTTTAGGACCGTGGCTGCGCCTACCTCTCCCCGGAGTATCACAAAAGTTGGCATTCAAATCGTCAAGCTTGATTCACAAGATATATGCGGGTGCTCCGCCATCTTGTCCAAATTCGTATCGGTCGAACTCGGTAGGCCGGAAACTTGAAGAAGGGGCTGGTTTGGATACGTTGCGTGCTCTAACTCACCCGCGCCCTTCTACAACTGTCACTCATTGGAGCCAATAACTCGGTAATGGCCACATCTAATGCACTTCGGCCCATCCCGCCACCGTGCCGAGGTACCTCGCAGGCCTCGAGGTTGACACCAACGCCAATATCGGCGGCGTGCCTCCACCGAGGGAAGGAGATCCCGGTCTCGGTGATGGTGGTGATATTCTGGTTTCCCAGGTGGCCGAATTGTTACCCCAAGCACCGAAATCCAGGATCATCTTCCCCCTGTGGAGGCAGCCCCCCTGTGTTGGTGTTGGTGCCAACTTCCAGGCCTCCCATACGTGGCGATTCGGAGTCCTCATGGCTGCTTCTTGGGGCCCCTTCGGAGGGCTCTCGGTGGCCGCAGGGGGGGCAGTCTTGACGCCTCTGGGGAGCCTCCTGGTAGCTTCCCGGGGGACTCTTTTGGAGGCCTCCTGGAGGAGGAGGAGGAGGAGGAGGAGGAGGAGGAGGAGGAGGAGGAGGAGGAGGAGGAGGAGGAGGAGGAGGAGGAGGAGCGAGCAGCGAGCAGCGAGCAGCGAGCAGCGAGCAGCGAGCAGGCGAGCAGCGAGCAGCGAGCAGCGAGCAGCGAGCAGCGAGCAGCGAGCAGCAGCAGCAGCAGCAGCAGCAGCAACAGCAGCAGCAGCAGCAGCAGCAGCAGGGGGAGGATGAGGTGGAGGAGGAGCAGCTCCAGGAGCAGGAGCGGAAAGCTCGAAATGTCGGCTCGTGTTCCCCTCTGGGATCCCTCTTGGGGGCCCCTTGGATCGTCTCGGCGAGCCGTCTTGAGGCATTTGGGGAGTGCTTATGGCGCCCTCGTGGACCGTATTGCAGGCCCCTTGGGCCTTCTGGGGGCCATCTTGGGCGTCCTGGAGCGAGAGATTGTTTTTTTATCCTCTGGGGGGTAACGCTCGTTACCCGGGCCTCTCCCCCCCCCCCCCCCCCCCCGTAACGGTAACGCTCGTACGCGGGGGGGGTCTCGGTCTTCCCCTCCAACATGCTGGTGCCCGAAGGCATGCGCACTGTGGTGTGGTGGTCGCAGGCGCACTGTGGGCGCTCGCAGGCCATTGCGGCGCTCGCATGCGCGATGCTGGTGCTTGCGGGCTTTGCGCTTGTACTCGAATCGTCGTCGTCGTCGTCGTCGTCGTCGTCGTCGTCGTCGTCGTCGTCGTCGTCGTCGACGGCGCCCGAAAACGGCCTCCGGAGGCCGAAACAGGCGGCAAACGTCGTCGTCGTCGTCGTCGACCTCGTCGCTCGTCGCTCGTCGATCATCGTCGTCGCGCGCGCGGGCGCGGGCGTGGTGCCGGGACCACGCGGCGGGCTTTGCGCTTGTACTCGAATCGCAAGCCACTGTGGTGCTCTCAGGCAGAGAGTGCTGCTCGCGCGCATACTATGGCGATCGCAGAGCGCCCCTGCTTCGCCATACCCCGCCCAGCCCAAGCGTTACCGTTACCCGGGGGGCACGACCCCCCCCCCCCCCCCGGGTAACGAGCGTTACCGGCCGGAATAAAAAAATGATCTCCGATCCTTTGGCGAGGCGGAGTCCCTCCCCCCCTCTTGGACACATCGGGGGGTTCGCGAGGTCGTGTCTGGGCGGGCGCGGCGTCCAGAGGACCGGCAGGGAGCCCCGAACTCACGGGGGCAACCCTGCGGGACGGCCCGGGACTCCGAAGCTCGGGGCCTTGTCTGCAGCAGCAGCAGCAGCAGCAGCAGCAGCAGCACAGCTGGGAGCCTCGGTGGGGCAGTCCACTCCGTGCCAGAGGCACGGCGGCGGATATGACACTCGAGGAAGAGAGGAAGGCAGAAAAACATGAGTTGTTTCACTCCGCGAGGGTTTCTTGGATCCGCGCTGGGCCCCCGAGCGGCGCCTCCGGCGCCGCCCTTGGCGCGCTCCGTGCGCCGAGGAGGGTCCAGCGCGGATCCAAGAAGGCCGTGCGGAGCGCCAGGAGTTTCTGTTTGTGGCGTTCGTTCTTCTTCTGAGGGTACTTTCGGAACGTGAGCCATCAACCTCTTGCGTGGGGTCAAAGCCGCCAGCATTCACTGGGGCAGTCCAGGATCTGAGCGAAGGGGCACCCCCATCCTTCCCACGAGCATCCAGAGACGTTTCGCGCGGGGCCCCCCCGCCAACTGCTGCTGCACGATCAGCCTTGGTGCGACTAGACCAAACCTCGACCACAGAGGTTTCGTAATGGTGTTCGACCTCAGTGTTCAGCGAATTGGCCACGGACAAAACCCCAGTCTCGGCATCATGCATTTTTTAAGCTCAAGTTTGGTTTCCACTGCGCATTGAAACACCCTCACGCTGCTGGCCACGAAACACGTTTGCAACAAGCCTTGTCCAGCGATGCAGTCCGCGAGGAAGTGTCAGCTAACATGCCTTTGTATTCGTCCTGGGCAGGTCGCCAATCCAAAAGTCTGTTTATCGATCCTTGGGCGGGAGGCTCAGACGCTAGCTTGTCTGGCATTTGGCGTGGCCATCCTGTTACATGTTCTAGCACTTCCTGTAAGTAAAATTTGGCCCGCTCGAGTGCACATGACTTTAGCCATCTGATCGGCTGGGTGTATGGGTTCCGGAGAAATCCAGGATGGGGGTACGGCATGCGACGCATGATGAGCAGTCAGAAGAGGCGGAGGAGGAGGAGGGGGAGGAGCAGAGGGGTGAAGAGGACTAATACGAGCAGGAAGGGAAGGAGGAGGGGTACGAGGAGGACCGGGGGAAGCATGACCAGTAATAGACATACACACATATATATATATATATATATATATATGTATATATGTGCATATATCGATAATGAGGGGAGTTTGGTGGTACCGGTTGTGGTGATCCTGACGGAGATAGCGGGCCGCGCGAGTTCATAGGAAAGCCTGGTTGGTCGAGACCAGATTTGTACAGATCGGGGGGTGCCAGAGGTTGCCCTGGCCGAAGGTGACCCCGGCTTTTCGCCCCATTGTGCTTTCGAGCCCCCCAGGGCCTCCAGAGCACCCCCCACGGGGCCGAGAGGTTCCCAGGGGCTCTGGAGTTGGTCGAAAGTTGCGGGCACCTTTTAGGCCAGGCCCGTGACAGCCTTCTCATGGCCTCTGGCTTGTGCCATTATCAGCCCTCTCGGCTGAGGATGCATCTGGTGGCGTGTGCCCTGGTACATGGGCGGGGAAGCTCGGCTGAGGATAGATCTGTTCCAGACTGTCAGGACCGCTCTCTGGGCGTTCCGGAACGCTCTGAGAAGGCCGCCGCGCCCGAGACATTCTCCAGAGCCGCCGGGTCTCAGAGAGTATGGATTTAGCTCCTCACCTGATTTTGCAGGATCCGGCTTGAACGAGGAACATTGCCTTTTCAAAAGGGGCTCGGTCGTTTTTTTGGTGTGCATGCGTTCGGCTACCTTTTTGACGGCGAGCCCCCTGGTGTCCTTTCAGATTTTGGTCGCGCGGGTCCGTTCTTTCGGACTTCGTAGACTTACTTGGAACAAAAAGGGGCTTCGTTCCTGATTTATGGCTCCTTACGTCAGGCCGAATCCTGTATCCTCGTCCTGGCTTCGTCTTCACGGGGGCGGGGGAGCTTCGACGCCTCGCTGCTCCCCCCCCCCCGGGCGAGGGACCCCTCTGGCAACCCCCGCACGGAGCGCCCGGGCACGGCCGGCGTGCTTTCAATAGGCGCCCGGCCTGCGGTTTTCGGCTGGTGCCCGCCACCGTTTAACAGAAGGCTTCCCCGCCCGTCTCGCAGGCGTAAGTCAGGGGCAGCGATAGGGGGGGATAGGCATAGGTCGGGGGTGGACAGAGACCCCAACCTGACACGTCGATGAGTGATTTGTCCGGCTTCGGTTCTCGAGATGGCGCTGCGGCCGTCATTTTCCAGGCTTGCGCCCGCCAGGTTTGGGCCCGAGGTCGTTTTCACTGAACCACGTTTTACTAAACGGGGTTCTGTCCATCCCCGAATAGGGGGGGATGCATCGACCCCCAATCGCCCATGGATCGCCGATAGGGATCCGATAACCCCACCCCGCCCAGGAAGGTGCGGATGCACGATCGGGGGCCTATCGCCGATCTATCGGTGATGTACCGCCGATTCCAGGTCGATGCATCCCCCCCTATGCCTATCCCCCCCTATCGTTGCCCCTCACTTAAGTCAGGCATGTCCCTCTACAGGAGGAACATATGCAAACATTGTCAAAAAATAGTCCAGGGACGATTTGCCGACCATTCTTGACCGTTTTGGGGTGTGCCCTTGGTGTTTTTTTTTACTCCGTCGTCCAAAATCCGCCTGTAGGGGGGGCATGCCCGACCGAGTCGTGGGCGCACCAAGGCGCACACTCGGGGCTCGGCCCTGCGGCGTCGGGCGCGCAGCCGCCCGCCGTGTTTCAAGCGCCCGCGCCCGCTCCCCCGCTGCCTCCGCCCGGCTGCCTCCCCGTGCCACGCCCTCCCAATGGGAGGAGGGCTCGGGTATTGCGGAATTGGTCGTTTTCGGTTCGCGAGAGGGCGTCGCGGCCGTCGTTTTTGCGGGTCCAGGTCCGTCGGTTTCGGTCCCAGGCCGTTTTCACTAAGGGGAGGTTTACTAAAGGGAGGTTTGTCCACCGCCGACACTGGGCCCTCGGCTGACGGGCTCATGTATCGGGTATTGGCCAGGACCCCGGGTAAGGGAACCCCGTTAGTGGTAGGGCCCCGGAGCCTTCGAATTGGCCAGAATCACTAGACCAGGTTTGCCACAGCTGGTGTTTTTTCGGGTGACGGCAGTTCCGGTTGGTGGAAATGGGACGGGGGGGCGCCCCCGGTACAGATCTTTAAACCAGGTTCCACTAAACCCAGTTCTACCAACGCCCGAAGGGCGCCAGGATTCAGAAGAGGAGGAGATACCGTGAAGTCAGGCCTGTCCCTCTACAGAAGGAATATTCCAACTTAGTCAAAGAATGGTCTGGGAACGATGTTTAAGAACTATTTTCCATCATTTTAGTTTTATATACATGTGTTGTATATTTGTAAGTTTTCGTCCCAAATCCGCCTGTATGGGGACAAGCCCGACCTAGAGGTACCGACACCGATGAGGCTCTTTCGTCGCCACGGCCAGACTCGCTCGGAGATGCCGGTCAGAAGGCGCTCCAGGAGAGGCCGGGGGAGCAGCGGTATTTGTACTCGTTGATGCCCCCCTCTTCCCCAATCGGTGCCTGTATTGATCAATAGTGGCGAAGCGGCCCGGCTCGCCTATAGCCCTGCCAAACAATGTTCTAAGAACCTTTTGTGGTTTCCGCGAAATGTTCTTAGAACATTGTTGGCTGGGACTGTCTTGTTTTATCCTAGCGGCTTCATGTTACAAGAACATTGTTTTTGTTATTAGAACATTTTGGGGCTAATGTCGTGGTAGGACTGTAGGAACGCCGGGACGGTCGGTCCCTGATCAATTTGAAGGGTCTTTAGCGGATGTTGAAAGATTTGGCGAAAGTGCCCGGCCGATTTCGGTGGGCGGCCAGGTTTCCGAGTTCCCGGTTCCGGGTTCCCGTGTTCCCGGTTGTTGTTTTCGGGTTGATTTCGGTGGGCGGCGAGGTTCCCGTGTTTTTGGGTTCCCCAGTTCCTTGTCAATCTCTTCTTCGATCGGTCTCAGCATCGATCTCATTACCCACCTCTCTGTCGATTTTACGATCGATTTCACAATCGATCTCATTATCGATCTGACAATCGATTTCACTATAGATCGCACGAGCGATCTCACGATCGATCTCACGATCGATCTCACTGAATCGAATTCTCTATCGGTCTCACGATCGCCCTTATTATCATCCTCGCTATAATGGCCTTCGGCACATCCCGCCATCGTGCCTGGGTGGTGGATATGAAGCCTATTGGATGTTCGGTGGGATCTCGTGAGAGGCTTCTCGGGGGCCTCTTGGTGGCAGTTTGGACGCCTCTTAGGGAACGTTTGGGGGACTCTTGGGGCCTCCTGGAGGCCTCTTAAAAAACCTCTTGGGGCCTCCTGGGCGCATCCTGGGGCCTCCTTGGGACCTCTTGGGGCGGAAGGCTTGGATTTTCAGGTCGTGTTCCCTTTGGGGGGGCTCCTTTTATGGGGCCGTCTTGCGGCCTTCTTGGGCCGTTTCGGGCGTCTCTGAGGTTGTCTTACGGCCCTCGTGGGTCGCTCTGGGGCCCTCTTGGAGGCCTCGTGGGCCGTCTTGGGGCTGCCTCTAGGGCCGTCTGGGAGCGTCGGGGAGCCGAAAAGGCGAGAACGCCAAAATATTTCAACTACCTGGAAAATCAATGATCTTGGCCTATTGGGGGCCCTCTTGGGGGCCTCTTGGAGGCCTCCTTGGGCATCTTAGAGGCCTCTGGGGCCGTCTGGGGGCCATCTTGAGCGTCCTGTTCGGCGACTCGGGGCCTCCTTGGGCCGTCTTGGGGGCGTCTGGGGGCCCTCTTGGCCCGTCTTGGAGCCTTCTTGGGCCAGGGGGGGGGTCCCTGCAGTCTGGGGGGAGCCCTTGTAGTCCAGGGGAGGGCCCTTGTAGTCCGCAGAGCCCCTGTAGTCCGGGTGCCCAAAACTATTGAGATACTCTGAGTAGGATGGTAAGCACGGAGGGGGAAGAAGGGTGGGATAGGGAGGAGGATGCGGATGTGAGGGCGATGAGGACGAAGCAGACAAGTAGGGCGAGGGAGACGAGGAGGTGGGGGCAGCGCGCGTTCCACCACATTTAACTCCGTTTCTTCCTGAAGGGCGGGCAAATTAGAGATAAGTCTGCAGCGGCGCGCAACTAGCGACTCGTCGCTATGGCAAGGGAAGGAAAATGAGAGTCCACAGGAGAGGCCTGGGTGAGTTTTGCGTCCGATGGCACCGCTCCCGAATCACATTCTCATGCGTTGTCTCGTTGTCCCTCTCCTCCCCTCCCTTCGTGGGTGTTTACACAGGGCTTTTCCGCCGGGGTTGCACGAGTTAATCATAGAGTCCCTTTCTTGCTCTCTTGCTTTCTCTCTCTCTCTCTCTCTCTCCCTCTTTTCATCAGAAGTACGCTTTCATTCCACGCACATATCTATCTATCTATATATATATATATATATATGCACGAATGCATGCATACATGCATGCGTACATACATACATATCTCTCACTTTCTCCCTAGCATAGTTACGCCTTATCGCCGTGCACATACATGCATACATATACATATATACATATATATACATACATAGATACATACATACATACATACATACATACATACATACATACATACATACATACATACATACATACATACATACATACATACATACATACATATGTGTATACCCATGTACATACACATGCACACCTGTATATGCACACTCCCCCATGGCTCTCCTTCCGACGGGACCCGTAGCATCTTTGGCTCTAGCGTTTGTTGGCCTGGCGTCCAGCGTGCCGCTGTGGTGGGTTGCAGGCGCCGCCGCTGTTGCGTCGCTTCCCTGCACCGTGGGCAGCGTCTTGGGCGCGCCGCTCGGCGGACCGATGTGCCCGGCCCGCTGGGCGGCGGGAAGCGGAGAAGCCGACGCAGCTGGCCAGCGCGGATTGCCGGTGCCCTCCGAATCGGGGCTTGCGGGCAGGCGTGCTGGTGGCTGTCGTGTCCTCGGGCGGGTGCGGCAGTCCCTCTTGCCGTCTCCTCGTTGCGAGCTCTGAGCTCGCATCGATGCGCTCGAGGCGTGGCGAGCGCCTGCTTCTCTGGCGGGTTTGGCGACGACGGGCTTCTCGGGAGCGCTGGGCCTCGCGACGGAGTGTGAGGGCCTCGGTGTTCGCTGTCGCCGCCAATGACCCTTAACTCGGGCCTGTCACACCACGTCGTGCCTCCAGTGAAACTGGTGCGGGTCTCGGCGGTGCCACGGCGAGTCCGCGGCGACTACTGCGACATCGGCAGAATGGACGAGGACGTCTTGGCCGAGGTGCGGCGAGAGTGTCACACTATGGCGGAGGTCCGGGGCGCGGGGCCGCTCGCTCTGCAGGCGGGCCCTGGGGCGGCCAGCTCGCCGACCCGAGCTTCGAGGAGCACGGCGAGGTGGTGGGCGCGGCGATCACGGGCACGGCGGCCAGACGCAATGCCGCCAACGCCCTCGGGATTGCGCGCGTCGGGGTGGTGGACAGCAGGGCGCCGTGGACGGCGATCGAGAAGGTCGGTGACGACATGCCCGAGGAGAGGAAGGGGGAGGAGGATGGGGCAGGGGCGCGGTACAGGTCCCTGCGGGGCGCCATGGCCGAGATGATCTATCACCCGATTCGGGATCCAGCCAATCTTACCGCGAAGGACAACGACTGGCCGCTCGACGGGCCGAGCTGCATTGCGCCGCGCGGTCGTATGTCGAGGAGCTGGTCGGGATCTACGACTACTTCGCGCGAGGATTGGTTAGTTTCGGGAGCCCGATCGCCTACAATCACCCGGGCTTTAGTTCGTTCCTGCCGCACCTGGCAAACTGGGGACAGGTCAGCGGGGGCCAGCTGGCGAGCGCCGGCTTCACGGTGGGGCCAGCCCTTCAGACTCACCCGGCAGCGCAGCAGACTCCGAGGGCGCCGGACTGCAAGGGTAGGGCCATCATGATCGCCAGCAGGCTTGACGCCGCCAGGGACGCCATCTCCGGCGCGTTCGTGAAATTCGGCGCGGAGGAGCGCGGTGGCTTGCCTGCCCGCTTGATGTGAGGCGGTGGGGGAGGGAAAAGGCTTTTCACTCCTGCCATCGCCATATGTCGCCATGCAGTTTTTCGAGTCTACACTTCAACATGACATGGCACTCTCGCTTCCGACTTGTTGGGCTGTGTTCAGCCATCTTGGACTTCTTGGAGCGATGTTGGGCCGAGTTGGGGCCCTCTACGACCGTCTCGGGGGCCCTTTGTGGCCCTCCTTGCCCGTATTGGGGCATTCTTGGCTCCAGAAGAGTGACGCGGGAACGTGCCTTGGCACGCGGGGGGGGCACGGGAAATCTGACAATGTTAGATCCAGCGTCTCGCCTATTCTTGAATTGAAGTCTGTGCATAGTTGGCGCCACTTCAGAATACAATTGCACAGTCTCTGGGATCATAGAAAAGCTTTTCAAACAGCACAACAACACGCAATACAACACATACGAAAAACACAGGAACACAACAAGAAAACGCGACGTAACGTCAACTGGGGATGTTGCTCCAATGCTTCGCTACGAAAGCACGACGCAACCTGCGCCAACACATAGTTCAACACAACGTGCCCAGCCCTCGAAGACGCACAGATGGGCATTGCTATTTGTTGCGCGACGTTTTTCTGTGTCATTGCCCCTTTGTTTAAAAAGGGTGTCTGCCACACGGAATCCCCGTTGTGAGATTGACGACTCAGAGGGCTTGAGGACGCTCCAACTCGCGCCCCAGGGCACAGTGGCCAATGTGCCTCGCCTGCCACACGCCCGCGCGGAGGCCCTCGGGTTAAAAGACCGACAGGTCGCTCGCACCACTTCGCCACGTGGCCCGCGTAACATGTAAAGCCGTGCTGCACGGCCCTCGTTGCCCCAGGTGGCAATGTTCGCGCAAACACAGACGGACACTGTGTTGCAACTAATTCGGCTCCCATTTCCATCCATATTCTTGGTCGCTTACGAATCTTTGGTGAAGAAAGAATACTCTACACATTATAGAGTGAGAGCGAGAGGGAGAGTGTGCGAGAGAGAGAGAGAGAAAGACTGAGTGAGTGAGACAAAGGCATCCGTCCTCCTCTGCAGAGGAGGACGAATCACATGATCTCGCGGCTGAGGAGGAGCCAACACAAAATTGGGTTGCTGCAAAAAGGAGGAACTAGACGATACAGAGGAATGAATATATACTTAAGGGGTTAGGGGGGGTTGATGAGAGCACTGGTCAGGAGTATGCGGAGGAGGGGGAGGGATATGAGGCTAGAGGAAGAGGGTATGGAAGAGTTGGAAGTGAACGGGGGAGGTAAGCGAGGAACAGGAGGAGGAAGAGGAGAAAGAGGAGAAGGAGGAGGTGGAAAGGTAGGCGGGGGGTGGAGGCGGAAGCGGAGGAGGCGGAGGAGGCGGAGGGGATACGGTCAAGTGGTCGGGGTGGATGGGGCAGGGGGTCGGGTGGCAGGACAAGGGGGACGAATGTGAAGGTGTGGCGAGGACGAAAAGGGTCATAAGCAAGAGAGCGGGACGGAGATGTGGAGGAGGCGGAGGAGAACCCCAAGGACGACAAGAAGTGACGACGACGACGTGGACGTGGAGGAGGACGAGGAAGAGGAACGCGGAGGAAAGACAGCGAGGGGGACTTGGGCGACGAGGAGGAGGAGGAGGAGGAGGGGGAGGAGGAGGAGGCGGAGGAGGAGGACGACGAGGAGGACGAGGAGAAGGAGGACGAGGAGGAGGAGGAGGAT